CGGACGACAATTAAACGACAAAAATGATCTATTATTCTTTACAACGTTGTTTGAGTTGTGGCGTCATTCCTAATGATTATTAGAAAGAAATCAATAAAGAACTTCTTAAGGTTTCTAATAGACGAATAAATTGTAGGTCCATGGCTTTTAGTTCGAAGAACCCAAGAATCATCCTTTATCAACATTTAAAATCATACTATATTCTGAGTCATAACTGACACCATTTAAGTAAAAACATAAAAGCAAATTTCAATGTTTCTCTTTAAAGATGTTATAATATTTAAAATCGGTGGCATTAGTTTTGAGATGACAAACAAACCGCATAACAACCTAGACAAAACTATTTCAGAAAATTTATGTCTACATTTCTTAAAGATAGACCAAAAGGTGCTTAGACTTCCTGTTGAAATATTCACGATGAAATTACAAAGAAGAACAGGAAAGAATCACTACTTGCTCATTGATTCGTAAACAAGGAATATTGAATATTTTTAAGGCCTTTTTCATATCAGGAAATCTAAACTCGCTTTCGTGGATGATTCTATACGCAAAAGGATTTTTAGCTAGATTCATTCCACTTGTGAATTTAACTTGATCAGATTTAAGCACAAAAGTTCATGTAGGCCTCAAAGGTAATCTGTCTCGTTGTGGATTGGTTAAAGAGAACAATAGCTGGAACAATAGCCTAAACACAATTCCAGCGCTCTACCATATTTTTTACAATGCGATAAATTAAAGGCGGACTGGAAACAATAAAAAATCCCTTTGTTCTGATAATCAATAAACGTCATGACAGATTGCCTTTAATATCTATTGAAGAAACGATGCTACTTGGGTGGGCAGTTTTGATGGTATGATAGTAATCTAAGCAGCTTTTAATAGTTTGATCTTTAGCAGTTTTATGCAGAATGGTAGATTTTCATGGGATGATAAATATTTGAGGAGTTTTTGGGATATGATAGTAACTTCGGCAGTTTTTCAAATAATGTCAACAATTTAGGCACAGGCAGTTTTTGATAGCACGATGATTAGCCAGTGAAGAACTAAATACCACAGGAGTGAATCTAGACATTCGCACCGTTCGCACATGCGAGAGTCAGCTTTAAAATAATATTAGCAATCTGTCTCAAAAACATCAACTTCCTCTAAGTTTAGCGCTTGAACTGTGCTCTGCACAGCAACCTCGATGCCACGAGGAGGCTCGAAGAACTCAAATCGGAGTTCGCCGAGTCTCCTCCAATTAGGATTTATTGGCTGCCACTTGACAAATCAAGCGCAAGAGCGCGGTTTTCGAATTGCGCGGTGTTCTTTGATCTCTTAACAGTTCGATTCTACTGTAATGGCTAGTCGGCCTAAAAAAGAGGAGTTGTTATCGGCAAGACTTACGTTGCTTGTTCAAAGGAAACGAAATAGCGATATTTCAATTGTCGAGCGCGATGCCAACAAACCAGAAATAGAGAATTTTTACGTTGACTTGATATTTCTGATTTCGAAGACATTTCTAACGAAGCTATCCAACAAGCCAATGATCATGATAGCCTGCCCGAAGATAAAGCGAATGTCGCAAGCACGTCTGTCGAAGGAATGCCAGAAACTGACAGAATACAAGGCATATAATATGTTAATGTCATTCACAACACCAGCAGGAAATTTGTGCCGATTCTAACAGGTAGGTTTTTGACAAGACATTTACTATTATCATGTTTTGACTCACTGTTTTGACATTTACTAATCAAGTTAAGCCTTGCTTAGTCATGCTGTGAACATGTTTTACTACTCTTACACTGAATACGTAATGTGGCCTAGTATTATATCCTGGTCGTATAAGTTGTTTTGTTATGTTCGTTCAACCGTAGTTTATCTTTCAAGATACTCTCCGTGGCATACTTGTTGGGCCTAAACATTCGTTCGGGCTTACTTCTGTTTAATAGGTCAAATCAATCAGTTGCAATGTGTTCAGGCATGTTCCAGGCTACGCAGAAAGTTTCCCTTCTATCAAAATTGCTATTTTTCTTCTTAAATGAGTTTTTTTTACTCTGTCAGTAATTGGTATCAAACAGAGAAGCGCTTCTGGGAAACCTTCTTGCAACAAATGATCAAAACGAGGCTATCGGGCAATTTATAACGTTAGTGAGACTTTAAATCCAATCTCTAATTCTATATTCTATTCTCGATCTTGATTCAACCTGATTCGAATCTCTAAGCATCCTGGCTGAAAAACATCAGAGTACCAATGTAGATAGATATTTCGGTGCACAGTATGGTAAGTAGCACGCTCGCACCGATTCGCACAGCTTTTGTTTTAAAATATCTAGCCAATCAAATCTCTAGATAGTGCGGACTGCGGTGCACAGTATGTTTTTAGTAGAGTCGCACCACTGGGTAAAGATTAATCTGTCTTCAGTATGTGCTTTGTACAGTTCTGAGCCTGTCTATACCTGGCATGGAGACGTTTTTCACTAGAGAAAAGGAATTTTGTGTTATGGAGTCGACGGGCTACATGTAAAACGTATGCGTTAAACCTGGTGATTCAGTGATTGGGAAGAGAAAGGTCGCTAGATTTTCAGTAGCTTTCGACATGGGATACATGACATCCTCGATGGAACGAGGGCCTACGAATTCAATCAATGCACTGGACTGGGACGATACCTGTGAATTGGCTCTGGCGAAGAAATTATGCTCGGGACGCAGTGAGATTTTAGTTTGAACAAAACTTTTAGAGTGAATATTTCAATGTGGATTTCAGTTCCTTTTCAGCTTTGGGATATTTCCGGGTAAAGTTTACTTGGGTATTCCCCTGATTTCGTTTAGTTATTTATTATTGTTTATTATTTATTCATTAGTCACTGACACAGGTTTCTATGAATATATTAGTGAAAATTTGTTCAATTTGATTAGTTCTGGAAATTTGTTGCAAATATGTTCCTTATTTGTTCACGTGACCTGGTTTGTCATCGTACAGAATTAAACCAGATTTAACAAATCGAGAGACGACTTGAATTTCTGCCTGATTGTGAAAGGAAAAACCACGTGAATACGCTTAAAGCCCTGGCAAAACGACTAAACATTTCACTAAACATTTCACTCAACTTTTGTTTAGTCAAAAGTTTAGTGAAAAGTTTAGTCGTTTTGCAACCCTGTTTAGTGGTGTTTAGTCGTGTTGAGTGTTGTTGAGCAAAGTTTGATACTGGTCAAAAATGTTTAGCGTTGTTTAGTGTTTTTTAGCAAATGTTTAGTCGTTTTGCCACCAATTAAACATTTGTTGTGATCGTGCAAGCGCACTAGTTGTGGAAATCCAAAGGTTTTCGTCTGTTTACGTTGGTTTTCCTGTCTCTACGTGACCCAAAAAGCCTTTATGAGAATCTGCATTTCTCGTTGTACGCTACTGTGTCTTCTTCAACAGTCAACTTTGTTGTTAATGTGCTAAAAAGTCTTTTCTTTCCTCGTCGCTTCATCCAATTCTTATTTTTATCCACTGCTTGTGCATGCAACAAAATGAACCAAAAGCAAATTCCTATGCAAGATCCCCTACAACCCAACAGCATCATAGACAGCTCGCAGTTCAAACAAGTTGAGTGAAGTTTAGTGAAAAGTTTAGTCACGTTTTACCACCCTCGCTAAACTTCGCTCAACTTCACTAAACAAAAGTTCAGTGAAATGTTTAGTGAAATGTTTAGTCGTTTTGCCAGGGCTTAAGAATTTTAAGTTGTTCCTTGCTTTACGCTTGGCGCAGAAATAACACAATATTCTGCTGTTCAAATGAAAAGGAAGTGAATATTCTTCTGGTCAAAAATGATATTTCCGACCACACCCTTGTGTGCGACAGTCGGAATACTTTCTGGGTCCGCCCCTGAAATACTTGTCAAGACTTTCTGGCGATTTTCAAGTTATATGGCGAACGTCGTAAATAAGGCGTATGAATGACAAAACTATGGGTTTTATGTGTAACTGCCGTTCTACACACAAACATATGGTCCGTTACCGGAGATCTTACGGCAAAACACTACAGTAGCTTGCCAGGTGTGAGAACAGGATTTGAGAAAGCATACTAAAAGAAATTGTAAACGCATTCTACATTCAGCGTAGGACTCAAATTCGCAACAAGATACAGGGCTTTATCAGAGCAAATGAAACGAACGAGTCAAGTATGCCAGGGCGAAATATTAGTATTCCCTAATTTATTTTGAAAATTTTATCTCGTTACATTGGATTCTCGTCGTCGTATTGCTTTGTTCCAGAATATCTTCAGGAAGAATATACCAATTCAAAGTCAATTTTTGTTATGTCAAAGTCAGTTTTGGCACATTCTTGATAGCGCGACAATTTTCACCGACGAGTGGCATTCAAAGACATTCACCCAACCGGTAACAATAATTTTTTTATTAGCCAGTTGACACCAAAATGGCTTACGTTCTTGTCCTGATCAATTGGTCCATTCCGTCATGGGTATCATCAGGTTTTAAAAACAAAAGCAAGTCGGAAATTCCAATTTGATTGGGCATTTATTGGTTGCATCTTAGCTAACCATCATTTTGACGTTCAAGGAATCTGCAAACCGACGCGAATAACTGGACTGTGAAGGATATGTGACTCATTTGAAAATAACATAATTTCGTATGTTTAAACTGGATATACACTTCAACTAACAATGTTTTTTTCAACTAACAATGTTTTTTTCAACTAACTATGTTTTTTAAATGTTTGTAATACAGTAAAGTAATGTAAGTAACCTAAAACACAACCTAACCCACATTAACTAATATTTAATTCACTAATATGAATTTACATACATATAAATATTTACTTGAGTTTCATGACATATTACCAGTTTCCCGAATGGCGATTTTTTTCGCTAGCGAGTGAATAGTTTCTCCCACACACTGCGTCAGCCTATTATATTGTTCTCGATTTTATGCCTACCAATTTCAGCATCTCAGAAATATGATGTAAGAAGAAGTGATTAAATCAAAACCTGATAAAGTTAAGTAAGAAATTCCTACCAGTTTATCTCAAGTATAAGCATCCAGAGGAAGTTTGCCAGCCCAATGAAGTAGAAACAATAATTTCTTCAACCATGCTTTAACGATATGATTCCACAAGACCACAAGATCTACTGAAAACCTACTCACCTGTGCCAAATCGTATTCAGACAATAACCTGGAATAGCACAAGAGCAAAACGATTGGACGCTACTTTATCCTTCTCTTTGGGGTCCTTTGCGCAAATATCTATCTATCGTGAGCCGGAGCGCCGGAAGCATTTTGAGGCGGCGGGGGCAGTTACTCAAAAAGGGCACATTTTCAATGACTACTATTAGAATTATAATAAAAAATGACATAACATAATACTTTGGTAACGATATAACGTTTAATTTAAAAGACCAGTCTAAAACTTCCCATTCTGTTGTTTAGGCTTTTGCTGGGTGGGAAGGGGGGGGGGGAGACCTTAACATGTTTGAAGGTAGGTGGACGTGTAATGTTTTAGGGGTACTTTCTGAAAAATGCGGAATTTTTGGTATCAGTTTTTGAAATATGTGCAGAACAATGGGTACCGTTTTCGAAAAATGTTGCAAAATTATTAGAAAGGAGATTGAGCATTAATAAAATGAATGTCCAGTTAGAAATGAAAGTATAAAATATGTGCAATATTGAAATTTTTGGCAAAAAACATACAAAATTTGTTTGCTGGTTTTATTGTGCTTTAAAAATGTTATATGCTTTGCGGAATTATGGGTAAGGTTTTCATCATGATTGCGGAATTATGGTTTACATTTTTCAGACATGTACTGAATTCTGGGTCCAAATGTTTTAACCAAAATGACACGTCCCCGTTCAAAATAAGACTTAGTTAATCCCCCCCCTAACCCCATGAGCTGTTGGCTATCGTGTCGGATCACGCTGCAGTGTGCTAAAAGTACGCTCTGCAGTTGCAGATGAAAGTGCAAATGAATTGTACAATTGCAATGACTTGTGGGCTCTGGCAGACATTCTTTATGGCATTAAATTGAAGTCATGATTGATCAAAGGGTTTCCATCTTCGTTACCTTCTTTATATTGGTATGGCATCTTATTTCTTATAAATTTTGATGACTTTGCTAAAGTTCACCCCATTTTTAAAAGCTTTAAGATTACTTCCATTGAAGCTTCTACTAGTTAACTTGGATTAGTGTTGCGTATTGCATTAGTGTTTGACATCCTCTACCAGAGTCCGTTAAAAGGGGCCCTATCTCAGTTTTCCCTTAGGACCCCAGATGCCTCCGTTACGCCACTCGCCTTATTCTACAGTGATTTCCTACATTTTAGAACCTTGCTGAAAGAAATAGCATTATTGCACATAAGTTCATAACAAATGCACCCAATGTTTTAGTTGCTTTCATTTTGTTCCTAACGGCACTAATGTTTTATCTCACTATTCCATTCGCATAAACACAGTGCCATTTTCACAAGGGCACAGTGCTGCCCCCGCTGCCCCTATAGAGTCAGGGCAGGGCGCCCCTGATCGTGAGCTATTATCAACGATTCGCTGCCAAACCAAAATAGCCACTTATAATGTTTTTCCGCATTGATGCATGGATTTAGACAATTATTTACGACAGTCATCTTGAGTGGGATTGTCCGCTATGATGCAAGAGGCGGCGCCATGAGGAGGGCTGGGAAGGACGTGTCATCTATGCCCTAAGGGTAAGGTTAAAGATACTATAAAGTTATGCTGTGTCAAGAGGCGGTGTTCTAAAGGGGTTGACCTGTAGTCCCGTACATTTTCTTACGTTGAAATGCGTGATTTTATTTTGAAAAAGGACGTGGTTTCAAAAACGTGTTCCTCTAGACCCTCCGCCTTTCCGTGAGGCTGTTGCCGCCTTTGTATTACACTTGCTCATTTAGTTACAGTTACTGCAAATGATTTTTTGAACTGCATGCATGTCTTTGATTTCATAAGATTATTTTTTGGCAAGTGGGGTTCTTGATGAGCAAGTAACCCTATAGCCGGCTCTTTAGATTTTATAACCTGACTATTTCCAAACTATCCATGTTTCAAAATATTCAAGGGTGACGTCCACAACTATGGTGTCACATAAATGGTGTTATCTAGAATAACATGCTAGCTCACTTGAAAAGAACTATGCTAGGAGCAGGGGGGTGTAGTGTCAAGGGGGTTAATGGGCTGAGCTGAGCCCTTTTTTAATGTCTACAATAATTTTAAAAGCCCCTCCCTCGTATAAGCCCCCTCCTCGAATAAGCCCCTATCCAAATAAGGGCTAAATCGAGGATTTACAGTAGTGTACAGAATTGCACTGGCGTGTGGTTATCCTTCAGAACCATGACATACATGGATGCCCTAAGAAGGTCTCAGTAGCAACAAAATGATGCTGAAAAGTTGCTTTAATTATCTTCTTTACCTAAAAGCGAAAAACTTAAACTTGAAGTGTAATTTTAAAAATAGGTGTTTCCATCAGTTTCTAGACACACGAAGGGTGTAGCATAAAAGTTCAATCAATATCTACCCCCCCCCCCCTCCCCCCAATTTTTACCGTTTATTTGGCTTTTATGGAGTATGAATAATTATTAGATTCATAACAACGTACATATACATACTGTAAATTCTCTTTTAAGCCCCCGGAGGCATGTTGCTTTTCAGCATTCTAAGGGGGGGGGGGGGGGGCTTATCAGGGGGAGGGCCTTAAAAAGAATTTACCGTAAGTTAGGCAAAAAGTGGACAAAAAACCAAGTTTCTCGCATTTCTAACATAAAACAATCAACTGCACAAAAGACACAGAGAAAGAAAGTTACAAACGGGATGTAAACAAATCAAATCGATCACACTATTCAGAAGTCAATCGCATGAATCCATGCAGACAAAACAGCAGATAAAATCAAACTTATCAGAAAAAATGGAACAAACAAACGTTCCACCTCGAAGAAGTAACAAGTAATCTAATCAAAGGAGAACAGCAAAAAAAGAGTCAATTATCTAATTCTTAAAAACACGAGTAAGCAAGATCCTTTAGGATGACCGCGTTAGTCAAATAACATGCATGCATAATTGATTAGGGGATCACAGCTCATCAAAATTTTTCACTTTTTGCATCTCAAAGATGTGGTTCTATAACAATACTAGATTGACAATTAAGGTTAAAGAAGCTGAAAAGGGTGAAAAATGCTGTTGTCCTGGACCAAGATCCATCGTTATTCTCCAGGACGACCCTACCTGTTTTGAAACCTGACAATTTCGAACAGGGATCCTCTATGAACCTCTCAAAATGGATGCTATTTCCTGTGAGACATGAATCAGTGTTGGTGTCTTTTAGGCCAATCAACCATAGAGGTTTATTTCGGTACATTTTAATTTGGCTGAAAATTTCAACATTGCTATTGTTTGTGTCAAACTAAAGTCCTCCAACATAAGTCATAGAATGACTAAGGCAGCCTGACGTTTTCCATTTGAACACGCATTGCCTAAACAAGTACTTTCCTGGTATTTCGACACTTTTCAGTCTTTTAGTTCTCATCATCAAACAGTAATTATCAGAGGTCATTTCAAAGGGGGCCTCCTCAAGGCATCCCGATACACACACACTACTTTTTCTAGTCGACTACCCTGTTTGTTTACCGCTTTCCTCCCAGGACCGAAATACAGCCCCAAAAACTTTGATAGCATGAGTAAAATAATTTTGTATCATTTATAATGTTACACTCATTCAGGGCTATCGGCCTTGCATTCTTCATCACTTATATATGGCTTCTGATGTGTATAGCCAGTCACTCTAAGAATTGCAAATTAACTTACCCTTAGAAAACATCTCCCAACCCGATGGTAATGAACCTTTGTTATCAGCATCAGTCAAAGTTTCTTTAAAGAGGTTCAGGATGTTCAAGACATCGCAGCTTTGAAGTCCTAATGAATGCCTCTTAGTAATTAGACAATGATGGATGTAAACTAAATCTTATATCTCCTGGTTTATACATTCTCCGCTCAGTAATGTAAAACGTCTATCGCTTTAAAGTGCAAGACATGCTACAACTCAAGGGCTACATGAAGAGTGTTATTGAAAACAAATTACTTCGAATCCAATAGTCTTATCTTAAGATTAGTCTCTTGCATCACAATCACATTGTTTATACAAATATAATACCAACAATTAAAGGTTTTCGAAATATCCATAAATTTCATCAATTGTGGTGAACAGGACACGGGGCTCGGGATTTCTTCAATGGCGGTTTACTGGTTACAAAATAACTGCACCTTATCTCTAATTGGTTATTCTCAATTGTGTCCCTTTCAACATTCTCTCCACAACTGCCCGGATTTATGACTCATACTTTTCAAAAGCTACCAAATCGTCGGTAACAAGACATACCTGACATACCTGTCACCAGACATACCAGACATACCTGTCACCAACAAATTGGATAAATGATCTAGTGCTCCAATGGGATTAAAGCTATCAAAATTATAAAAGTCGTCCCAGCATTAAAAACTAGAAGAATGTTCCAAACTGAGTTCAAGCCAGCAACTAATACTGTTAATAAAATCGAGAATAAAATACTGTTACAGAGTCAGAAAATACTCAGCTTTTTCTAAGCAGAATGCTATTTCCAAGGAACTAAAAACTGGTGGGATTTCGTTGCTTTTCAAACGTTTTGATGCTTTTATCAAAAAGAGGTATAAGCCAATAACGCTTTTGTCGAAATCTATGAGAGAGTTTTGAAGGGTCAGATAAAACTTCATAACCTTAGCATACATTTCTTCTGCGTGGATTTCGAGAGGGCTATGAAACCCAACATGCACCTTTACGACTCATCGAAACCTGCGAAAATACAATATATTTCGATTGCATTAATCCTGAACTATTGATTGCAAAAATAAATGTTTTTGTTTCAGTGTGAGTGCATTGCGCTTGATCAATAGCTACCTCGATGAGAAAAAGCAGAGGATAAAGATGAATAGGTCCTTCAGCAAATGGAGACAAACAGCGATGGATGTACCACATGACTCAGTTTTGGGACCTTTTATGTTTAATATAAACCCCACTGATCTCTTCATATTCTTTATAAGAGAACGATTTTATTATCGGCCACGCCTGGGAAAACGTTGGAGATGCCATTTTTAGTAATTTTTGACCTTTTTCAAAATTTTGGAAAAGCAACATTTTTGTAATGGATCTGATCAGCCCCCTCCTCCTAAAGGTCTTTCAATGGATTTCGATAAATTAGAAAATAGACTTTTGGGGAAAGTGGGGTGTATCAGTGCGACACAATCATTGTTTGCGACAGGGTTGCCATTTGGGATTATTCACTGGGACTGTGGAAACGCTGTTAGGATCAGAAATTGTTATCTGTGATTCAAAGTAAATATTGGGAATTTTTGGAATTATCAGACAAGAACGGGTTTTTTGTCATAACTGGTCCATGGATTTCTCAAATTAACTATTATGTAACTCCTTTAGCACTACTAAAGACAATGTAATGTGCCACAAAATGAAGAATGATTGACTTGAATGTAAAATTTTGTCTATGATTTGTTAAAATTTTGTAATGATTCTATTTGTCATTCCATTAATATAAGCAATTTACTTTTCCTTTGTTTTTGTTATTGGCCCATTCAAACACATTTGGGAGGGGAGTGTACATTTTATTTGATTTCATCTGAGTCTTCACATCGACTGTTACACTGATTAAAAATTTAAAAGTTATCTGCTGTTGATCTGGTTCATCATACTTCATACACAATGCCCATGTTGAAGCCTTCATACTTATATCTCAATTCTTATGGCAACTGACTCGACTATCAGACACTGCGGAGCGTTGAGAAAAGTGGGGGGGGGGTCTAAAAAAGTGTGGGGGGCTAAAACCGTGTTAAAAGAGGCTTTTCTGGTAGTTTGATACTTAATATTTGGCATTTTTTGCAAAATGTAGGGGGGGGGGCTAAAGCCCTCCAGCCCCCCTGCTCCGCGGTGCCTGACTATTTACTGTATATCAAATTAAGTAACCGCAACATTGAATAATGCGTAATTCATTGCACTGGAAATATAGAAGACAAGACTGCAGAGGAATATCTATCTCTTTTTATTACCATTGCGAAGGAATCTACTTTTGAATAATTTGGGATTGATTTAGGATTCAGTTTCAGAAACTTTGGGATTGAAGACCTGCCAACACTTGGCAACCCTGGTTTGAGAGCGTCCCATTTGTCTCGTAGTGATGTCGAGGCAATTTCTGAAACGAGGTTTTGCACTTGATGGCCTAAAGTGTGTTTGAGGATGCTGTAATTTTAAACATGAAAAAGACATGAGCCAAATATTTATTTTCATGAAAAAGTTCCCGAAAAAGATAGCAAAGCTAGTTTTGTTTCCTAAACTCGGCAACTTCCGAAAAGCAAATTGCGAAAGCTCCAACGACGAGGCACAGAGCTAGCCATCAAAAGGTGTTGAAGACACTCGTATTTGTAGCAGGTCTACACAGTTGAATCATTAAATGGCTCAGAATCCAGATGATGACGACCCAGTTGTGCAAGAGGTATATTATTTAAAAATTCATACAACTCAAGCATCGATTGTTTTTTGTTGACTTGGAGCCTAATTTTGAGCCAATTGCAATGTTCGATTGGAATGTTCAATTTGTATGCGCTTGATACAAATTTCTATGATAATTCCATACATACTTGTACCACACTGGAAACATGTCCCAATCGCAGAAATATGTTCCTTAATTCAGTCCGCACATTTTTTGACCGAAAGTTTCAAAAGTGTCATTGGATGGAAATGTGTTATTTTGCCACATGGTTTGCTCCCTCCAGAGCATCAGCAGTAAGATAAATTCCTCAGGCGCAAAGAATGCTCTGCAGTCTGGTGGTTTAAAATCCTTTTTCAATTTCTTTGGCATATTTCTATCATGAATTTTCTATATCATAAACACAGATGTTACAATGATGGTGATTAATTCAGCTTTCAGAGAAAATTAATCTATATGAGGCTATGCAGTAAAATATTATTTATTTTTAGCAATGTTGCCAGCACAGAACAAAAGTTCTACAGTCTGCTGGGGCCCCATTTATAATTGGTTTTGATATTTATATTGGCATGTGTAATTGACTGTGACAAATTCAAGTATTATGAGATGTCAACAGTATTGAAGTTAAATTATAAATCCATTTTTCACAGATTGATGTATTCATGGCAAAAGCACTTGCTGATAGAGTATACATCTTTCAGGTATGAATATTACTGATTACCAGCCTGACATAAGGCTCTCACTACTGTATGAGCAAAGCTTTACAGAGTATTTGATGTATAGAACAGGGTGGTTCTAAGTAGGCTCTCCAAGATAGGCTTATTGTGATCATCAGGAAGAGTTGCCCGATGATCACATTAAGTGTGAAACATGGTATAGTAACTAAGAGCTGTCCTGGTCTATACAGCAAATTGCATCTTTCAGGTATGATGTATGCTGTGAAATTTTATGTCATTAGATGTTTTGCATGCAGAATAAAACACACAAACTGATCATGCATGTTTTTTGAAATAGGTCTCTTAAAGTGAATGATGAAAATTGCCATTTTTCAAAGCATCATCAACTGTATTGGTCATATATTTTAAAAAAAATCAATTCACATCCACAAATCTTGCTTTCTAGTACCCTGTGAGACCATCTTTCTTATCTTATGATGAAACAAATCATATTGCTGCAAGAATCAAACCCAAACATCAAAAGGTGAGCAAAAGATTTCTAAGGTTTTTTTAAAATAGCCCATAGTCTTCAAACCCTTAAGCCAGTTTCTATCATAATCCCTTCAGCTTCAAAGATAATTTAGTAGACAGATAATTAGAATGTTATTTTATGAAATGATTTTCAGATTTATTGTCTTAAACAATTTGTTTTCTATGAACAATTTTGAGTGGCTTTTGTAAGATTTGCCCACTTTATCAAGAATACTTTGTTTTTAGAGGAAATTGAGACCAAAAGTGATTGCAAAAATGTGTAAATGAAAACAAATATTGAAAAATCAGTTATGCAATGATCAGATTTATTGAATTCTAATAGCTCTTCAAAAGGGTCTTCAAAACTCTATTTTTTCACTCCAATCTAGTTGTTTCTCTCCAATCAAATAAAGCTATAAACTTTTAAATTCATCAAATCATAAAACCAGAATTGCTTGTCAAAATTTATGTAAAATATTCCCTTTTCTGTTACTGATAACTTATTTTGTGGGTTTGTTTCTGTAGAAATTAGCTTTAATGCTTATAAATGGTTAAAAATGATGCCTGGTCTAACTCGTTATTTGACATTGTAGCTTATGTACTAGTTACATTTACAGTACTTTTTCCTTCAATAGGTTGAGCTAGAACTGGCCCTCAACAGTGACTGCCCAACCTACTGTGGGCCCAGAGGAGAGCAAATTGCCTATGCTGTTGATGAGGCATCAACTTCATCCAAAAGTCAGGAACCCTACTACCAAAGGTAGAATGCAACTTTCCATTAATTTGTCGACAACAAAATTGTACAATATTCTTGAAGCAATTGGTACATTTCAAGCTCTTTTGTAGGAAATTTTGAGAATATGATAATCTAGCATCACCATGAAGATGGATGCTAAGGAAATATATCCTTGTTAAGTTCTAATAAATAAGATACTTGCCTCTGATCTGATCATACTCTGACAGGTTGTTGTCACCTCTAGTGTCAGGCTGAACCTATGTTTTCAGTGCTACCCTAGGTGCCAAGCTGTACCTAAATTTAAGTCTCTCTATTAAAATATCTTCTCTGAAAAACTCTCAGGGGTCCTTATAAATGACCCTTCTTAGATGCTTTATCAAGCTTCTTGTGTATGTAATGGTTTTTGGATGATTTTCCAGTGGCTTAATGGACAAGCAAGTTCTGACTTCTGTGAAGGCTTCAGAACCAACTGGCAGATATGTAGCTGGTGTTTTGAAAAATGGTAACTTGATTTTATTTTTTTTGATATCAATAAATTTAATGGCTATAAGTATCATCCACTTTTTACAATGTGCCATAATGTGCTGATGCCATGTAGGCAGAGCTGTACAGGCTTTTGGTGCATAGAATGGGACAGTTCTAAGTTGCTACTTTAAGTTCATGCTTAAAGTGAGATCCTGTTAAACTTGAAACTTGGAGTAGCATCTTAGAACCATCCTGTTCTATAAACCAAATGTATAAACCTAGATGTTACATATATCCCTACCTGTTTTCATTTATAAACATTTGGTAAACATCTATTATTTTGTCTTGACTATTTGGATATTGCCAAAACTCTCTAGATTACTTGCAGAACTGTATAATTAAATTGTATACAAATTTCCTGTTAACTTTTTGATCATGAAGACATGCAAATTTTTTATCATGATGGGAGGGAGGTTCTGGGGTTAAGATGTCTTTCTCATAAAAGGTCGACATGGTCTCATTTTTATAGAGGTTGTTGGGTAGGAACCAACATGGAGGCTAGTTTGTTATTAGCAACTTTTTGAGTTTGCACTAGTTTGAAGTAACCTTTATGGAATTGTTTTCTAGTTTGTCTTCAATTAAGTTTGCTCTTTAACCTGTACCATGGATGGATTTTGCCCTGCAGACAGACTCTTCATCTCTATTTTTAGAGGATACTCTAAATTACAAAGAAAGCGGAAACTTAAGTACTTTTCATCTAACACTCCACAGAGGATAAACACTGGATAATGACATAAAGTAGCCAAAATTTTTTATCAAAATGCAAATCATAAGTAAGTAGATAGGAACACTGACAAAAACAACTGGTCAAAATCAAGAAATCAATCAAACACGTCATGCTTCCCACACATTACTTTTGATCTGCATCATGAAACAAACTTTCGGCCTACCTCTGGTCATTATCTGAAATTTATACTCTGAGGAGTGTCAGATAAAAAGCAATTGAGTTTTTTTAGCACCAAAGGTTTTTTTTTTAATTTTATAGTAAGGCCGTTGAAAAGGTTTTTTTCAATGAAATTGTCAAACACACTTGTTTGCCCTCCACCATGTGTGGCTTCCAAAATTTGAGTCATGGCTACACCACTGTTTAAAAACTGTTTAAAATTATATTTCTTCGCCTGGGTATCATGTTGTTATTAGCTTTGATGGTTTTTTTAAGAAAATCTCTGTTTTTCATCAAGAAAAGATCTGGGATTAAAGAGACGAATCTCTGTTGTAGTTTTTAACAACAAAATGCTATCCTGCATTAGACATTAAGAGGATCTAAACTATGTTGCTTGGTACTGCAACGTAAATATAATTTATTTTGCTGATGCAGGGATTTTCTGTAATGCCAGAGGCTTTTTATGCCTTGCAGCTAATGCCAATTGGAGCCTGAACAAGCAAACAGATTATTCTTCTTTTTTGCATCAAGCAAATGCAAGTGCTTATATAATCAAGTTAACACCTAGAGTTTAGAAACCATAAAGCTATGCAATGCAGTGTTTAGCCTTAATAAATTCTTGGTCTGAGCTTTCTCTTCCTCGTTTCAAAATCACCTTTTGACAAGGAGGCCACAGTACAGAGATTCACAGAGCACCCCTGGGGTCGTTTTGAGATTTTATAAAAAATGTAAAATTTTCTGGTGATAGTAAATAAACTGAAGAATTTAACAGTCGTTTTCACCAAAATTACATGAACGATGTTGGTCGCTTATAACATGTGAGAATGCCAAAAAATGAGTAACAAAGTAATCTGATACTCATAACGTTTAAAACACCTAAATGGTTCAAAATGATTATTTGTGGTGATATCAGTGCGTTGTATTACTGAGTTGCATTTTTATCCTTGTTTCGCCCCCCTGTTTCGAACAGACCAAGGGAAACTCTTTTTTCGAATGTTATTTGCAATAGCTTCATGTTAATGGAGACATAAATTTTCTTTTCTTTGTCGTACATTATCATCACAGCTTGAGGAAATCAAAGTTTCACTTCTCAGTGCGAAGGGACACTCAGATTTTCATTTTATTAAAATATTTTTGTATCTCTTTCCTGCTTGTAAAGGACAGTTTTGTATAATATAACCAGCGGTCAATATTTGGTGTCAATGACACACAGGATTTATGGTGAGCTCTCGTAACATTTCCTAAAGCTTTTCACTATAGTATCTTCATCGCCCTTCTCATAAGATTCAGAACTGTCTGGAATTTCAAGCATACGATTCACCTAACTGTATATCCCATCAGTGTTGCTTTCTGGCAGAATGCCTTTTAGGATAAGTGCCTCGGCATTTCTCGTTTACTTTCCAGAGCAAGCCTAAATGCTTCTAGCATCGCTGTTTTGATTAGAAGAAGCATTTCTCTTGTAATTAACGATTGTCATGAAAAATGCAACCTAAAGATTTTTATTTAAAATAGGAGCGCTTCATTTGACTCCAATCCATGGTTTCGTGCAGTTGCGCCCTTCGTTTGAGTACCTCAACAGGGCGGACGATAATAAGCAAACAACATCAAGCACAACTATCGGTAAGTTTTCTTTCACTTTTTTATGACGTAAATTAGGACATATCTTGTATGATTTTCATAAATTGGTTGAGACCCGCACAATTTTTATACATGACTATCTGGCGAGACATTCTTCCTTGTTAAAGGCAGTCTGTCCCTTCAATGGTTGTCTAATTCCATTCTAATTGGAACAGTTTCCCCGCCAAAATGCATCACACTACTCGTTTTGGATGGCCTAGCTGTGGTATTAAAAGATATTCGAAACTTCGAGCGAAAATCTATCGGAGATCGCAAGAAGAATTATGTTACAGGAATGGAATGATGACAAGGGAAGCATTTCCTGTCGCTGTTGGCATAGCTGTCGAACAAATCAAACAGGGAACAAAATTTATTTCAACCACAACTTTACTACAACGGGAACAGTCGTTTTGTTTCCAGATCCAAAGCGCTGACATCGAAGTTGTATCTGATTGGTTCAAATCATTTAGTTTTCGATCAAGCTTAACCATTCGTGAACTTAACTCCAGTAAAAACAACAGTTGAGCGCAATAGGGGACAGACTTCCTTCAATAGGCTACTTCGAAAAAGGGGATGCAATCGATCTTGATTGGCTGATTCCTTAAACAGCAAGCGTACATTGTTTGTTAATACTGTTATGATGCAACCAGTATTGAAGGCTACAGTGTCTTGGTGTGCTGCAAAGTGCTCCACAAAGCAGCATAGGCTTAAGTGTGAAGAACAAGACGGTTTCATCACTCATCATCAGCTTAATGTGATCGATCATCAACTGTTATTAGGGCGATTCTTGTTTCCATTTCAAAGCGCGAATCATCCAGTATATGGAAACAACAAAGCGAAGCGAGCCTCGGTTCCAAATTTTTGACTGGCTGAGAGACTTGATTCTCCATACCAGTTACTACTAATATGGAGGAGATGTGCTCGAATTTGACAAGTTATTATTGAGTTTGGCCTCTCTGTTAATGATCAAGCCGGTCAGATATAAGTATTGTTTGATTAGATCTCTACGAGCCAGCGAAAATGTATATAACCCAAGGAGAAAATTCTGTGGCTATTTATTCGAAATTTTAATTACAAAATTGTGCTAAATAACACAAGAATACATCTATTAAGTATTTATCAAAGCAAGCTAATTCTTCCTAATACTTAAGAAAATTTTTAGGAATATTCGTTGCATGTTTGAGAAATTTCAAATAAAGAGCTTCGTTCTGACCTATGGAAGACCTCATTCTGACCTATGGAGAACCTCATTCTGACTTATGGCAGCACTGACTGCCTGGCGCCTCTTAAGCGTCCATTGAAGTAAAATCTTCTGAAGACTATCTTGAGCTTGGATTCTTATGTCAAATGACAAAGCAGCCTTATGGCCAGACATTTTATAGATTTATGAAGACTTATGTGAAGATAAAACCTATTAGATTTAGATTTTCCGCCAAAGTCATTTTAACTGAGTAAAATCTTTAGTGCGAGCATTCATCCTTTTGAGGGCAGAGCTTGTTAATAACCTAGGTTGTCTCCTTATTGTATAAATGACTGAAAATTGAACACAGTTATACGCTCTTCGACGCGATTATTTTTATAAGAGAATTTCAGTTCAACTGTGAAAGAGACAATAAATGTTGATATCGGGTTAGGACTAGCCGCTGTTAACGCATATCATATTGAAAACGTCTATACCAATGTTGTAAATTTGCTGACTAGAAGTGGGTATTAACTTAACACCAAGTTCGAGTTATTGAAACTCCTGGCATCATCGATTGATCGTGGATTTTTTAGCATTTAACTGGGTCTCAGTATGTCTTGTTAAAAACCCACAGCTTACTGTGTGTTATCAGTGAAAGAGACTGAAACACGTAAAGATTTTGGAAAAAGCTTGTGAAAATGAAAACAGCTCGTTTTCCATTAGATCAATTCGCTAGCGCGAAGCAACTTTTTTATAGCTAACAAAATGGAGCTGCCAGACTCCAGAAAACATCACGGTTTCACGGCTGTAAGCCGGAGGAAGGTTATCTAACGATACAATAGTTTTGATGAATGTAAAAGTTTTTCCAGAGGAAGGCTGAGGCGTTCTCTGAATAATTAATACTCGCTACATTAGTCCGGTTTATATGATTTCGGTACCATACTGGCACGGTATGAAACCGGTATGGTATCATTTCTTTTTAGGCCAACCGGTTAATCGGGACTCATCCCTATCGCTACGGACTCATACCGGAGTTGTAAATTCATTTTATAAACGGGCTATTGCTTTGTATTCTCAGTTGAATATCTCGTCAAGAAATGTTTCGTCTACGTTGCAAGTTTAAGATGACGAGTGAAAGACAGCTTGACCAAAGTTTATGGCATTTTGTTGCTCACCAACTGCTTCATTTATATCATGATCACAGTTTCACCGCTAATTAACAAAGTTCTTCCTTGTTGTTTACCATTTTGAAAGTTTTACAAATATGAAATGACACAGACTAATTTAACTCAGACCAAATTCATCAAATCAAATTGTGTTTTGAAATAAGCCCAAAAGTAAGTTTGAAATAGGAAGTTCAAGATTGCGAGGCCGTTTCTCCCATTTTCTCCGAAAAAATTCACGGAAAAAACTCTTTTTGCACTGTTTGTTTCATCTCAATTTTTCCTGCAAAACTAGAGAACCACTTAAACCTTAGAACTTTAAAAACACACGAATATCTATGTATTAATGTATTCGCGTTTGTTTTCTGTATTCTTAACATGTTTGAATCTACAAATTGTCCTCAGATTTCTTTTAGGTCAACTGATTTGCCTGGAATTAGATTGTTTCAGCTTGTGGAAGCCACATCCTAATAGTTCGCTGACCCTAATCTAAAATTGAAGTTTTTATGAAAACTCTTAACAGTAAGCAAAAACCGCAGATGAAATAAAATTGTATTGCGTTGCAGTGGCATCTTTGAGTGGCATAATTCTTTCTGCATAACTCTCAAATTTCATGTTTAGTTTTAGAACTGTCAAACGAATGTATTTCCGTAGCAACAAAGAGGTATCACAGAGTACATGAAGATTCTCATAAGAAATAAAAGCATTCAGTTTCTTCGATTATATCTGCTATTCTTATCAAAAGAACTGGAATGAATTCGTTTGTTTCTTGAGCTGTCTTTGTTTAATTATCATTTGCTATACAAAACTTGTCACGAGCTTGTGTTTCTGATAGGCCTATTAATGGAGCCTGTAGAAGCTATTCAGTTTTATCTGACGAGCGCACTGGTTGCAATAATCATACTGAACAACAAGTCGAATTTGAAATAAAACGAAAAATCAGTAGCTTTTTTCTGACTAACCAGATAATTATCAGGTATTCTAGTATAATTTATGCAGAGTCCTTTACTAATTTGTTTTGTTTTTCAGAGGACAACGACGATGACGATGAAGAAGCAAAACCTGTCGTGGTATGTCATTTAACTTTACAGAAATTCATGATCAGAAGCTCAGATGCATTCAGTATTTCGTTCACTAGTTACTTACTCACTTGACTTGACAATAAGTTATCAAGTTATCTTTTTGTTACTTTTTCTTGGTTCACATGTATAAATAGACCAATATTTATTACCCATGTCACAAAAAGTTTCTTTTGTGTTGATTAAAAGCTCAAATATTGGTAAATTTTAGAAACTGTTTTTTTGGCTATTTATCTAGCTATCGACACTGTTTTTGGGTTTTTTTGGGGGGGGGGGTTATGGACAGGGATCAGATGTTGTAGAATTCGGGTAAGAAAGAAAAGATAAAAAAGATTCAAAGAGACGTTAAACACCAAAACCTGTAGAATGTCGAAGAATTTCCAAGAATTTTTTTTCCTTTAGAGATTGTATTATATTTGAGAAGACTTGGTAACAGTATTATAAGGAGGTGATTTTAAGCGTATGGGATTATGTAGAACAAGGAGACCCTATGGCAATAGCAGATTTCAGAAATTCGATGCCTTATGCAAAACATCAAATTGAATGCAGATTTCAGAACGATAAAAAGTTCAAGATGCTCTTGATTAAAAAGAACAACTTGCCAATACTTTTGATTTGTTTGTTAATTAAGCAACTGTCTTTATTTGTTTATAATTTGTATATACAAGGCCCGATTCACAAAATCTGCAACGGACGAAAGTATAAAAAAGAAGCGGCAGAGTTTTCACAGCATCGAGCAGAAACTAGCTGAGGAGCCGTGGATAGAAGTTGACTACCAACAGCCAACGGTAATTGATCCAATTCACACCATTGCCTTTATATGTACTGTGTGTTTATAATGATATCGTTTCGTATTTTGCTAAAGGCTTATTTCCAATAGGAAAGTCTTTATGATTTACCATAGTTGTTGATTTGTTTTTCGAATGAATCTATTTTAATGTGTAGGTCTGATGTGAGCTTTAGCTGCCTACGTCACAGACCAAATCGAATATCGATACCTCAAACCACAAGCACGATTTTACTAACATTGCATGGCTATTTTCTTGACAGTCATCAAAAGCAACATCGGAAAGGATGCTATTATATTGTCATCAAACGGATTTCGAGTCTCCAGAATTCACGGCAACTTCACGGTATTCAGCGCTTTTTTTAGTCAATAATGAATTTATACTTTTCTATTCACGCAACTCTTTTTTTATCATAATTTGGCCTCAACGAAAATACCGATGTTTCATTATATAACATTGCCAATTCTCTGTTCTTATTCACCTTGGCTCTGGGCCTCTTTTTTAGCCCCGTGAATCCAAAAGTAAGAGAACAATAACGAGGTTGTTACTATTTTAAAAATTAGATTAAAAACTGTAGTTTTAATGTGTACTCACTTAGATTTGTAATATATTTGGCATCGAAGCACATACCAGTCTCTTCTACCTCTTCGATCCTCAGCAGTGAAGTTTGCTTGGATTTAAGGTGCCTGGTGTGATCTTGGATTCACTTCTTCGCTTGGCGTGATCTAGCGGTCTTCTAATGTGATTCTGCGCCTCTACGTCTCCGAAGGCAGACACTCCGAGTTTTCAGACTTTTTCGTTGCAATGTACTGCGGAATAAGGCATTCTCTGCTTTCAAATGTTCTCTTGTGTCAGTTTCGTAGCATGCATGAATAATGAACGAAGCCGGTGAAACTTTTCTATGCGGTGGATTTTCTCGGATTTATGAAATGTCTAACGGTCATGTATTTTCGAATCGCATTCTAGAGTATATGAATTTGGAAAAAAATATCCAAGATTTGTTAAATATCTAGCTGAAATAAGTTTTTAGATCTCATTAACGCATCGGTTTTTTGATCACCCAACTTATCGTTGCATCAGACGTGGAATTAAACATTTTGACTTGGCATCGTCGCGTTGTGAAAACCCAGCTATTTCAAATTTACCTCTAAAATTAAAATCAATGTATTCATGCATCCTCTTTCAATAAGATGCCCAATGGTCTTGAAATCTATTACCTGGATAAACAAATAAATTTAGAATATTTCTCTATCTATTTTATGTTTTATATAACTTCACGAACCTTCACCGTCCCGATGTATTTCATTAACATCTTGATTGCAGTTCCATCTTTAGTTGTTTAAGATTTCAAATTATTTATATGATTACTAACAAGATTCCTTTGATAAACAGGTGTCTTTGTTTTTATTCTATGTTTTTTCATGGAAATAGCGAAGCATAACATTTTAAAATTTATTTTTATATTTTAGAGAATATCTCAAAATATTGACACCAAAACCAGAAGGCAAGGAAAGGTGGGGTTGATTTTGCACATGTCCTTCCTATACCAACCTTTTAAATCTATGTTAAGTTATAAACGTAAGCGAACTTAGCCACGAATCAGAGCTGGCGTTGCTATTTGAGCCTTGGTTCGTAAATTTTTCAAAGCTGCTTGCTGTTGTATAAAGTAAACAATCAAATTACATCTAATCCTTTGATCTTGTCGAGTTTTCGCTCTTATCAATTTCTTATTCTTTATTTTTAGCCATCAAGTCGAGCTGCCACATGGTGTCTTGTCAATGGCTTCATTGCGAAAGATGCACATAGCCGACCAAATTAAAGCACTTCTTACCAATGGTAGAGTTTCATTCATATTTTGCGAAGAAATTGAATATTCCAATTAGCTGTAGATGCTGAAACCATTCCATGTATTTTCGTCAGGAATCAAAATCTATTGTTTCTTGGAATGAGATTCTTAGGGGACGCGTCGCCATGTCTCATTTTTAATTAACAAGAATATTTTGCCTGCGATGTAACTGTGAATCTAGCTCAAAGGGCACAGGATGAAGTACAAGATGCATAGGACACAGAACAAAGTGCACATTGTGGGTTTTATTCTTGCACGCACAAGGGCACTGCACAGGTTTTGTCTTCCTCAGACTGTGGTTTTTGTTATTCACAGACTAGTTACTTTGCTGCTCATACAATCTGTGTAAACCAGATGTTGGGATATGCGGGCAGTCTGTTTCTTGTTTTTTTCAAGTAAAAACAATTCAAGTCTGGGTTTCATCAGGTCATTCTGCGATTTTTTGAGATTCACGAAAGCAGAGCTGCAAAAAGTATCGGAACCTGGGAACTAGATTCCCAGTAAATTTTTTGGCTTGGCAGAAAATTTTCAGCAAAACTTGATAAGAACAGCTGTCTTTTGCATTAACAAAAGTTTTTTCATTACTTTTTCATAACAGATCAAAGTTTATGCAAATAAAAAGTTTATACATATATTATTGAAACTTTTATGAAAACTGTTACTCCTATGTCAGATATCACAAAAAAATTGTATAACTTGGAAGCAACCTTCAGCTTCCTTGTCCAGGACATTTTTAACAGATAAAGCTGCAGGCTTAAAGTAGGCTATTTATGTGCTTTGAAAAGTGCTGTTTTGGTTGCTATATATCAGGTTACGATTTTGGATCTTTTTATATCAAAAGCTATGAAAACAATACAATACTTGACTTGAGTCTTATTTGAGGCCTTGGCAGGCCTGGCAAAGTTTTTGATTGATACTAAATTACACCCTGATGTTTTTTCAAGATCATATTTATCCTTTGAATATTGAGATGTCCTCATTTATTAATGTAAAATATCTTGCTGACATGTGTACCCATCATATGAAATGAAAGGCTAAAAAAGCTGGCTGGTAAGTATAGACAGGTAACCAGATGCATCTTCCTTAAAGCGGGCATCTATTACCTTTCCCAAACAGCATGTATTTGTGGAGAGCACCATCTACGTTGAAGTTTCCTGCCAGTCAATAAACATATCCCCCATTTGGTTTACAAATCAGTTTTACTTTTTCACATAGTCAATATTCGCCAAAACAAAAAAGATGCAAACAACTGAATTAGATATTTTATTGAAGATTTTCTCTAGAACCAATAAATTAGAAGCCCTTGCGTGAAATTTTGTGCATATTATTGGTAGAGCTATAGTACACAATACTTTCACATTTTTGTCCTGTTTCCCAGGTTCCCAGAAAGAAAATTTATTTTGCAGCTCTGCAGATCTGCGTGTAACAGAAAGTGTGCCCCATTTCCCTATAAAGATTACAAAAATGATGCCAAAAATTAGACATGACATCAAAAGTTAGAAGACATGATTAGAAAAGGGGATGCTCCCTCCTCGATTAGTTTATCTATTGAGGAAAGCCCCTCCCTAACAAATTTCATACCATATAAATTTCTATCCATTTTCTTTATTTATTTATTACAATTTTCCAGTTACCATCTTTTGTAATCTTGTTATATAATCTTTGTTAATTGTTGCATATTGAATAATTTTTGTATGTAGTGGAATTTAAAAATATGAATGAAATGATTACCTAAATAAACGGGCAACAGTAAAATCAAGAATTTCATACTGTTTTTAAATCCAAAGTTATTTAAAAAGAGAGGGTAACGCTATTGAAGTTTTGCAAAGAAACTAGTATAATATATTAAGACATTTTTCGGTGATTAATCCATGTTTTTGTATAACTGAATACTTTTTTTCTTCTCAAGTGGCAAAACTAACCAACCACTGAAAATGCCAATATTGCACCCCAATTGTCGCCAATAAGGAAGCAATATACCTATTAATTAGCAACGAATGTAAAAGACGAGGATCGTGAATAATAATGTTTCTTTTACATTTATACGCTTTAGTTATAAAGTTAGTGATATTTGAATTTTTAATTTCAGCAAAAGTTATACAGTTTCACCACTTACTGGCGTTGCTTGGACCTGGCTTGGATGAAAAAACCATCTTGAAAGGCCTTCATGATTTTGCGGTATTGGTTCAAGGATGCTGGGTTATCAAGAGGTTAGAATTTCATTTTCATTAGAACTTCCAAAACTAAGTATGTATACCGTTAATTTTTGAGCTCTTGAATCTCTTGCCCGAGTTTTAGTAAAGAAGTTATGCGGAGGCCAATTTTAACCTGAGTTCACAGCACCCTCCACATAAGCTTTAATTTAATTATAATTATAATTCTAATGAAAAGATTTCACGTTCTAAAGGCAGGTTTCACTGAGGTCCGGTTCGCAAGAAATACATGCAGAAAACCAAAGGATCTTGAAATTAACAAACGAGACTCGTTGCTCAGTACCCAGAAAATTTTCACACATGAGCAGCGAAATAGGAAGGTGAACCTTGCGCAACCAGATAAATTTATCCTCCCTGTCGTGATTAAGATTACTTTGAATGGAAACCGCAGGCCCCATCACGTGTGTCTTATAATCGACAGGACTATTTGGATCTACTGAGCTTTCTTAGTTGGTTCTGTTCGTTTAGAAGCTGGGTTCTTTTCAGATTTCTTGCTACCAAAGCTACAAAATCTGTTTGTTTCACAATAACCCCTCTTTCCCTTCTTGCTAGAAACTTTAATATTCTCTACCTTTCTAATATCATTGCTGTCAAACTACTTTATCCTGAGAGCCCGACAGCGTCAAAATGCCTTTTGTCAATTTAGATTGCAGTTGCATCCATGATAATTAAATCAAATGCTGACGACCAGATGCTCTCAAGAATTTAAATATTTTGTGATTGATCTAGGCCAAGCTACTTGTGCGTCGATTGGTTTTGACCGAGCTACCTCCCCTAACCCCATTAAAGCCTACTACTTGTACGGCCCTTCGCCTTTGAGTAACCTATCAGCCCTTAGAGGACGCCAGCCTTGGCTTCTTTTCCATCCCTTGTTTTGTCTTCAAAGTCTCCAAATCCTAGCAGAACTCAGCCATCCCCACTGCTCTGCAATCATTTCATATATATCCTATTCTCTACGTTGTTTATCGGCCGGCAACCTTGTTGATACCAACTTGCGTAAAGTTCTACCCATTGTTTAAAAAATAAACAATATCATACCTAGATATAGCACGTTGTTTTCTTTAATTTTTTTCTTCGTCCTGTTTTTCTTGACTGTTTTAAAACTATGATGCACGGACATAACCCGCTACTAATTTCTTCCACAATCAGTTACACGATCTTCGCTGAATCTGTGCACAGTCCGTTCACAACCCGTAAAATAAAATCCAATGTCAAATGAAGCTCACATTTTATGTATATTACTCTTTTGTAGAGAATTTTCAGTACATGAGTTCCTTCTCTGAGATATTTTTTCAGTCTTTGTATGCATTTGATAAGAGGCGACTAGAAAAAAAGCTAACTCTACTGGCTTGGCCATATCCTATGGTCCTTTGAGGCTGGTTCGTGATAAGAAAGGCTAGCTCTACTGGCTTGGCCTATGGTCCTTTGAAGCTGGTTCGTGATAAGAATTGAAATAAAGTAAAGAAAATCCTTGAAAGTTTAACCATCATTATGGGGTATATACCCAGACTGGAAACTTTGTTTCTTGCGCGGGCAAGTTCACGCGCCTCATAGCGCGACTGCGCGCCTGAAATTACGCACTTTTAAGAAATTTGTATTGTCATTTATTAATGTGAAATGTATTCAGATAGGGACTTTGCGCGGCCAAAATGCAAAAATGCGCGGATAGAAAATTTGAGTGCGCGGGCAATATATCGCGGGCGCGCGACAGAGTTTCCAGTCTGGGTATATACCTTGTATTTGTGACCCAGCATGACATGTACTCGCTAGGGGTATATACCTTGTACTCGCTCATTTCATCACACCCTTAACTCCCTACAACCCATTAGTGCAATTAGAAATTAGTGGATAAAACATATTTATGTTATGATAAATCCCTAGAGTGTCTCTGAATCCCTTATGTTAATAAAACATTAACTAAACAATTTGTTTGTGCAACTGTAAGATAACCAATACTTGTAAATTAAAGCCAGATTAACTGTTGGAAAACAATCCAGCAACAGAAATACAAACAAAAATGTGTGTAAAAGCTAAAGGCACAATGTTCTGGCGTATTTCGATGGTCATTCAATTTTCCGACCATAAACGCACTACAGAGCCTAACTCTCGGTTGAACGACGGCGTTATAGTTGCTTGGCAACTTGTGTACTACGCGCTCCAACGTAGTTTTCGAACATACATCAGCAGTCTGTAGTTTTAAGAAACACGTGGAAACATGTGGGTTCGAAGGCTCTTGAAATGCATTTTGCCAATCTGTCTGGGCAACGTGTCAACGAGAGTCTGGGAGAAAAGTCATTGCAACAAAGCAACTTTGGGAGGTATTAAAAGTGTTGTATTTAATCGACTTCAGTCAAATGGGCAATTTTTCAAGGTTTATCTGTAAAAGTTCATTTGAAGAGAAACTGTAAAAACGAAATTTGGTTAACAAGAATGTGTTTACAAATAAACTTGTGCTCGATTAAAATTGTCATGTGTTGACGACGTATTTAAAGTTCTTTGGTTGTCAACACAAAAGCCTTTTCTTGCTTATTTTTTTCTACGAATCAGCAAGCTGTTTATTATTAGCTGTGACGGTATTCTTCGAGGTATTCTTATGAGTCGACGTCGCAGTTCTGGTATTATTTTGTGGCCAGGGATGCACCAGAAAACCTGCAAACTGGATAATCGACCCGGGTCTTGATTTTTTTGGATATCCCTTGTACTTGCCCGTGGCTCTTTGACTCATGTATTTCGTTTATGATCTTTGCAGTCAGTTTAGCGAGGGAGGCCGTCGTGGGTTTTGAAAGATTTCACTTTTTTGGTGAATCCGAAGCACCAAAATGCTGCGCAGTCATCTCGACGACAAACTTCCACATAAGAAATTTTTATCGCAGTTTTTCTTTTATGAAGTTTGACAGATTTTATACGTAAGCTTATTATTTTCAGTGATGTTCTGTACCCAAAAGGAAGCAAGAGTCAAGTGAGTGGTATCGATGGCGAAGCCATTTGGCCCACGCGTAATTACATAGTAGGTTTCTGTTTTTTCTCTAATTTACCGTTTTTATACCCCTTTTGTGGGGCAAATGGTATTTGGTCTAGAAGCACCAACACCCTAGCTCCTTTATCCTGGCTCCTACACCCTGGCTCCTACACCCTGGCTCCTACACCCTGGCTCCTACACCCTGGCCCCTACACCCTGGCTCCTACACCCTGGCCCCTACACCCTGGCTCCTACACCCTGGGACCTACACTCTGACCCCTACACCCTGGCTCCTACACCCTGGCCCCTACACCCTGGCTCCTACACCCTGGCCCCAAAACCCTTCCCCCTGCACCCTGCCCCCTACACCCTGGCTCCTATACCCTGGCCCCTACACCCTGGCTCCTACATTCACTGCCACTCAAACACGGGTAGAACCAATGGTGGAAAAACATTTAATCAAAATATCTCGCTGAGTGTACACAATGGCGATAAAAGTTTTCCCTCCTTCATGGCCCTATAAACGATTTTTATTTTCGTACATTGTATCACATATGTACATTTTTATACTTTGTGTACTTTCCACGTTTCTATTACATAGTGGTCAAATCTTTGATTAGCTGAGAGCTTTGATCATAATTTTTCTCGAAACGTATCAATAGTTTAGATATTGCAACAGCTAATTCTACGGGAGACGATACTTTATTCCCCAATGCCAATGCTATTTGATTTGTTTTTCTTTTTTATTCCTGTGAATCATATTCTGTACCTTTTTATAAACAAATATCTGTATCAAATTTCTATAAAATAACACCGAATAGATTCTGAAACTAATCCTAGTTTATGGAATGAAGTTAGGGTATATAGATAACGCTAAAATTTCAAGATATTTGAGGTCGTAGCCTCTATAGTCGTAGCCTATGAATTGATTTATTATGGCCAAAACCCATCACAATTGGCTGAAATATAGCGCATTCCCTAAATTTCAGGTTCCACAGTGCCATTTTTCAGCTATTTCCTAAAAAAACATATTTTTTCTTTTTAGAGGTAGTCTTTGAGATGTTTTTTTTCAGGTTCTATTGTCAAAATTCAAATAGGTTTGAAATAACATATCATGACGTCATAACTGGGCCACTTTGTGTCACCAAATTTTCCAACTTATTAACTTATTTCTAAGCTAAAAGGCAAAATCTAATTTGTTCGGAGATGCAAAAGGAATCTTACTAAGTAATTTTGTTTTCAGATTTGGCTCTTTAACCACAAAAGAATAATTGAGCGCAAAGAGTTAACTTCTGTTACGAGAGTAAGTGATGAGTTATGGTTTCTGATTTCTGTCTTTAAATACAGAATTGTTGTTTTCTTCGTGGAATTTTTATGCGTTAGGCGCCGATGTGGGTCGTGTATTTTTTAAGTCAGAGTTATAACAGCTAATACTATCAAGATCGTTATGGTTTCACCCAGTCTTCGGTCCTCAGTTTCTCTTATGGATAAACTTAACCATTGGGGCTCAACACGTTGTTAATGCTAGTTAACAATATGTAGGTCTTTTTATAGAGAAAAGCATGTTTGTTACTGAATACTGTTTATGTTCGGGCTTTTAATGTTCCTGTTTGTAGTAGGGAAATTCATTTCTCCGTTTAAAGTGTTCTGTCCCACGAATAACATAAGCCCCGAAGAATGCCATATTAAAAAGGCAGCGTAGTGTGTTTCTTATTTAGCTTACAAACTCAAGATAATTCATTAACAATTACTCTCCATCAGATTCCAAGCGAAGAATTGCGAGATATACTTGAGCAAGTAAGAGTTGATTATTCATTTGTTCTTTTTTCAACCCTCTAAACCTATTTGACGGAACAGTTTGTTCAAACTAACTCGCATGTTTGTGCATATTCCATATTTTACATTTTCAAAAACATTTTTATTTATTTTATCTTTTTGTGCTTAATGTGTACAAAGCGAAATTGAACCGAGTTAATTTTAAATGAGTTGAATTGAAATGAGTTGAATTGAAATGAGTTGAATTGAATTGAATTAAATTGAACCGAGTTAATTGGAAATGAGTTGAATTGAAATGAGTTTAATTGGAATCTTCCACCCTTAATACGGCTATTTAACGTAGTGTAACAGACTGTGTTTCTGATAAATCTGATGATTATTTTTACAGGTAGCTCGTCGCAAACCTCCACAAAGCTGGGAATTCATGCTTCCGACCGACACTGACTTCGTTATCAAGTAAATTCCTTTATAGTTCTTTCTCTCTTGCTTTTATCAGTCCATGTAAATATGAAAGTTTTTGCCAGTGTTCCCAATTCTGTCCACCTATCAGCCGAAGCTTTAAAAGCTGGCACTGATTGTCCATATTCGTTTTGCCTACTTTGGCAACGATAGTGCCAATCCGAGGAACTTCTGGTAATTGGAACAACACTTTGTTTCGAATTCAGTTTCTAACGTGGACGATTCTTTTTAGGCCTAAGTTGATATCATATCGATGTAAATGCAACCAAGCGAAACATTAATGCAAGGAACTGAAATTGCCTTCTGTGCATTTTTTATGCTGCCCTTTTTTATATTTTGCAAACTCTTATAGGCACCAAGACGTCGTTAAATCTCAAATGGAAGTTTGGCAAGATTTGGTCGCAAGGTAAGCTCTATCATTTCGAAGCATTTTCTTTGCTACAGTGCAAAAATGGAGCCAATTTAATGATTGTATGATTTTACCGACGAAATGAGGTTTACCATACTTGGGTATTCGAATGTTCTTGATGGATCTAGACCAATAAAGTGCTTAAATTGAAATGAATTAGATAGAAAGAAGAGCCAATGTGATTATTTGGCATCAATTTAAGCTTCTCTTTTGGCATTAAGCTAATACCTTTTCATCAAATATTCAAATTCTATGTAAAAGCACTTTTATAGCTGCCGTTTCCCAAAATTGTATTTCGTTGTCCTTAAGTAAAAACTTTATTATAGATTATGTTAATCCAATAATTTTGTGACTTAATTTTTTTCAGACTAAATCAATCGCTAAGCCTGACCAAAGATCTCGTTATTACTGATAATGACATACTTCCGGGTTTGGATGCCAGTGTTCGCAACAAGGTGACTCGAGGCAGATCAAAGTCACGTGAGAGTATAGAAAAACAGAAACGAGGTGGTGGTAGGGAAGAGGAAGCAACGTCGAAAAAACCAAGTAGCAATGGGAAAATTGCGTTTACTAATGAGACAGAAAAGCTCTCAGACCAAATAGAATCAGACAGTAAAATAAACGAAATAGCAAATATCAGGGTTAAAATGGAGCCTTGTGATACCGTAAATATCAAAGAAGAACCTGTTGATTCTAATGATCTTATAGAACACTCAAATGAAATGGCAATGGACTTGGATGATAATAGTTCATTTGTTGACGGAGATTCGAACTCAAGCTCGATTTCTTTGCCATTTATCCCACCAGCAGCCTCGGGAAAGAGTCTCCAGGCTGTCGATAAACCTCCATCTGAAATTTTCTTGAAAGAGCTTGAAAAATTTATCAAACAAACCTTAAAAGGCAGCTGTTTATGTCTAGCCGAGTTCAAAGAAATACTCCAGCTAAGCCAACAAGGTGTGTGCACGAGAAAGATTGCTTTGTGTTTTTGTATCAAATTTTTACTAAATTCCGCAAGATCATTTTGCTATATACAGATTTTTGAAACACTAGACTTCATATATTTTCAAGGGAAGAAACCTCTTCTTTAAACCTAAGACGAATTAGAATCATGAAATTTCATTTTTTTCTGTTGAGGTAATCCTGAAAAATTCTTTGGTAGATTTATATCCTAGCTTTCGGAAAAGTCACAAGTTGCTTTATTCGAGAACAAACGTGTTATTTTTCGTAATCAGTCGATTTTCTTTCGTTTCATTGAACAGAGCCAGGTAACATTTTGTGCAGCGGTGTGTCAGATGATGTCTTAGAGGAGCAAATTCTTAATACAGGGGCCTGTCAGCTCAGCCTGAAGGTTTGTGTATTTTTAATCGCATTTTGCTGCTCCTTCAGTGCAGGAATCTACTGCTTGTATCGATTAGTCTGATTAAAGAGGTATTTCGCAGTCTCACTTTTTAGGCCATAGAACTTCTCTAATTTTTTTTCAAATTCCATGTTTAAAGGTAAATTTATGGTCTTGTTTTCCTGTTCTATTTTGTCTTCTTCCTCGTTTCCACTCTAGAATCGAAAAAAAATCTGAATGCTTCATTTTTGATGCTTCGTTAAATGCATTCAAAAATGCAGAAATGCAGCAGAATTCTTGAGTAGGACTGGTCAACCAGTATCATCATTATTTATATATCTTTGTTTTGAAATTATGTATATTCCGGGACAGTTTATTCCATTGAAGCAACAATTTTGATAGCATTTACTTAAGCTTTACAATCGATGCATCATTTTTGGTTTTACACCTTTATATATTTACTTATTGAGAAACTTTTGCTGAAATAAAAATTATTTAGAGTTTTGCAAGAATGAAATAACCTTTTATTGTCTCTTTGTAGTGGCCTGATAATTGTGCTGTGAGCTCGGAAAGAAGAAAGTTATACATGTTCATGAAAGTTGGCGACTCTATGGATAAGGTCTGTGAATTTCTTGTCATCATTCATTTCATTCTAAATTCGTTAAGGATGGTGGCCCTTCAGCGGAGAAGCTGATTTCCAAGGGGCCCTCCATCTTCATCACATACTCAATTACAAATTTTTTATTCTTTAATAAAGCTTTTTTACTTACAACAAAAATAGTGTTTATAATAGAACGTAAAATAAAGTAGAATAATTACCTTGATATTACAAAACAAAACAAAAACGAAAAAAGTAGAATTCATTAAATAAGATTTTTAAAAATCGTTAGGAAGCTTGCTTGTTTGCAGTCGGCTGAAAAGCTGTTCAAAATTTGCGCATCTCTAAAAGAAAAACACTTCTGACTCGTTGTACTGCTTTTTTCGGCAACCTAAGGTTAGTTAAAGTATTACGCAAACTGTGGCTGCGTTAACACGGGGCCCGCCGAATATTTGGTCTGACAAATATTCGGCCACCTAGGAAACTTGGCCGGCCGAATTCGCGAGCGGCCTCGTGTAAACGGTTATGGCCGGCCAAATATTTGCACGGTACCAAAAAGAGGGTGTCGATACGTGCTACAGAGGCAAACACAAAATGGGAAGTTGAAGTTGGGCAGAAATTAACGTTGGGGCATTTTGGAATTAAAGACTAAAAAGCATAGCAAACATCGCAAATTTTCAGTCATTGAGACAGTTATTTCAGCCATCCTCTTTAAACAGAATTTGGAAAGAGAGCACACGAGAACAGATAATGAGAGAATTTGTTTTGTTAGCTCTCTGTTTACAATGATTTTTGGCGCCAAGATTTTGACGCACACGCAATGCACAAGAATTAGGACACCTAAGCGGGCCCGTGTGAACGTAACGCCTAGGTGACCTCATTTGTGGCCGGCTTCAAAAGCAGGCCAAATATTCGGCCGGCCCCTTTTAAAAGCAACCTGTATGTGGCATATTTTGAGCTTTTCGTGAACAAATTGCGTAGGTATTGAGCGAGTTCGTTTAAGCTCTTAAAGGCCATTGTTTTAGATTCAGTTTCGATTAGTTCTTTTATAGTCTTAGATCATTCTCTTATCGGCTCGAAGTTGATGCACATTTTAAATTGCTTCACAACCAATTCTAATTTTTGTTTAGTATGAAGCAACCTGTGTCTCAAAGTCGACTTTTAAAATGCTTTGAAATCTTAATTACATCGTTTTCAAACATGTTAGGTTGTGCAAGTATGATTTACGGTCAGATGATTTATGTTCTGGCGGGAATTAATTGTTTACGCTTTTGATAAAAACTTTTTTATTATGCCTACACGTTAGTTGCTGTCTGTACTTGCAAAGTTGCATTCATCCATCCCCTATTAATTATAATATAATAAAAAAATATGCTAAATTATGCAGATTCGAATTTTTATTCGATTGGAAGTAAGAAGCTTTGTGATAGGTTTTTGCAGTATAAATCTGGTTAAAAAATTATAAAATAAACGATTTCATTGAAAACATTTTATAAATTTTCAAGTATGAAACTATCTTCCAAACAATGTTTTTCGCTTCGTGAATTAATATTTAAAATGAATTTGAGATAGCTATCTTTAGCATGTTAGGGTGGAAGAATTTTTCATATATTTTTTTAATCTCTAAACCTAAGGTTTAATAACAAGTAACAAGAACTAAATGCGATTTTCTCAAATATTACTGTAAACATAATGACAGGGCTTTGGGATGATTAAATACGATTTAGCAATGGACTAAGAAGATCCAAATATTCTTTTTATTACGTATTTGTGATACTCTCAACAGTCATTTGCAAGAAGTATAAGATTTTCCACTGCTGATTTGTTTTTATTTCGTTAACAAGACCTAACCACTCTCGGTAGTGAGCTTTTCAATTATGTATTAGAACCCAGAGGGAAGTAATCTCATTTTGGCGGGGGACAAGCTGAAATAACTGGGATGTGGGATATGAGGTTTCTTAACTGCAGATTTAAAAGCAGTCTCTTCTTGAAAAAGTGAAAGCGACTTGGTTATATAGAGTATTAAGATTGCCTGAAGAGGTTATACCTCTGGAAATATATCGCTACACTGGGGGTGGATGGTTTTTGACTGTTAAGAAAAACAGTGTACGAATTTCTACTGATGAAGATTGAGCGTAAAGAGGTATTTTTCTTACTGTGAAGGAACTGTCAGCGAAATGCAAGAACGAAGGGGCGAGATAAAAACACCATCTGGAATAAAAGATGTACCTTCATATCAAAAAGTATTTTAAAAGTTGAAATATGCGCTATTTTTGAAATTTCATTGCATTTCATTGCAAATGGCATTTGCTAGTGGGGAATCGCTGGGAAACTGGTGAGGAAATCTCAGGGCCTAATGGAGGGATTTTTCGACTAGTTTTTATGTCTTGCAATGTAAGGAGCAAACAACTGGAGGCATTCTTCTCAAGCTACCTCAACTTAGTCTGTACTTGTATATTCTACTAAACACAACGATAGTTTGATCATATCACAGTTGACACAACGATATGAAATGAACTCGTTGTCAAATTTGTTCCTTTTCACGAACATCTTCACTTCCAGTCCTTCTTCCTCTAAAGCAATGTTGAAAGTTGAGGTAAATTTTACATAAATCACATATTTTGAATACATATTTCCGTTAACTTATTGATAATTATCTTCACTCAAACGCTGAAAGCGTAATTTTTCACAAAGTGCAGTGGTTATAAATGTTTTTAAAAGTGGGGCTTGATGACATTTTGAATTGAGGGGAGATGCGAAAGGGGCTTATACTCGAAAAGCCCTTAAGCAAAAGACTTATAATCTATAAGCATACGAAAAGTATATAAATGTAGTTTAATCAAGCATGGTACGTTTCACCAAAAGGGCCAAATGATTTGTTGCTGGGAAAGGGGGAAAGACGCCACGGTTAGTTAGTTTATATAATGTTAAGAGAATCTAAACATCGAAGAGAAAAATCCACAAGCCTCAACAGATTGTCTGTCTACATAACATATCATTCTAAAAAAAGATTTACACAAGCATTTAGCATATGTTTGGTACTTTTTTTGTGATAAGGGGTTTTTTGTGCCTCTTATCTTAAAAAGATGCACTGCAGAACTCCAACTTGTAATTGAAAAGCGACCACGTATATTTCTTGTAATCATTCAAATTCAACCAAATCAATTTGAAATTATACCAGGATAGGGGGGGGGGGGCTCTCTCCTCGATTAGTTTACCGATTAAGAGAGCTCCTCCTTTAAGTAATTCCCTCCATACAATCTGTCATGTTTTTCTCTTTGTTAGCGTATATTTGTATTAATGTTTTATTAATATTCTGTAATAGTTTTTTATTTCCTTGTAGTTTTGTTATTTGTTGGTATTGTTATTCATAAGATTGTATGTAGTGAATTTAAATATAAATGAAACTGAACTGAAACTGATATGCATGATTAATAATTAAAATGTTTCTTAGGTGAATATTTGCTATAAATATACTTGTCTTCCGGCATATTCATGCATAAGAAACAGCCAGGTTAAAAAGTGACTGTCATTAACCCTGTTACTATTTGCGCAATTACATAGAACTCTAGCAGAGTTCTCCATATAACAAAAGAAGGAGTGTTTATATCCAAGTTATATCATATACTCTACTTTATATCCTATGTTACAAATCACACAAAAACACCAAGAGTATTTGATAAAACATTACAGAGTGGTGTATTGATGCTCTTTGCAAGGAGATTGAAATTACACTGTAGTATCCTGCAGCACACAAAAACAAGCAAAAGGAATAAGCTATCTTTATCAGGCCCTTCCGTCCATTCAAAAGGACTGCGTTCCTGCCACACAAAAAAGTTCTGTTATATATGAATTTACGTGCCAGTGTGATTCTGGCTACGTAGGACGCACCACCCAAAGATTGGAGGATAGAATAAAACAACATTTTTCGTCTGATATTAGAAACAAAACTCATCCCCACAGAGAACAGCCACCTCGGTCTTGCAAATCTAAAATTACAACTAAAACCTGCGATTCTGCTATCGGGCAGCATTTACTAGAAAACCCAGATTGTGCAAAAAACTAGAATGGCGACATGTTTCTGATTTATTGGTAAAGCCCGATCGTCGTTCCACCTAGCAGTTTTAGAATCTATCTACATAAGCACGAAAAAACCGCTACTGTGTAGACAAAAGGAGTTCGTTTTCACCTTAGGACTCCACTGGTAACATCCTAATAGGCAAGCGGCACTGATTGGTCAACCTATACAGTCATGTGCTCGTGTTTCTGATTGGCCTATTTCGATCCACAACTGGGTATATATATTTCTTAGCGTAGAGTTTTCGATCTATGTTCTGACGTTTTTAAACTCTGAAGAGTGTCAGACGAAAAGCTTTAGTTTACTAAATGTTTGTTTTTTTCAAAGCCATTTACAAGTTTTGTACCACCAAAAGATTGTTTCTATCTTTATCAGTTGGCATTTTCTTTTCATCTACTATAATCTGGCAATTTATGTGGATTAATTTTCTTCTGTTTCAGTATCGCAAAGTTGTTATTTCGATGTTTAGTGAAGGATTCTGTTTCAAGAAGTCAGACATAAACAAAAGATTGCAAGAAAAACTTGGCTCTTCATTAACAAATCACATTTTTCCAAGATTCATGGGGGTATTGATAATTTCATTAGAATTTGGTTTTCATTTAAATATCTTTCAAGTAAACTTAAGCAAAACCTGAGAAAGATGTTCAGTTGCTAGTTGTTATTTTTAATTTCATGATAGATTTCTGTAAAATTATTCTGCGCCAATTTATCTGCGATCTTTGATATCCAAAGATTAAAGCTGCAAATTTAGTACAAAGTCACAATCCTGAAAGACTTGGAAATGTTATTGCAAAACTTTGTATTTTGACCTTGGAAGTGAAATAAGGAAAGACAGCCCAGACTGGTGGCTCCAATTGCACTTGTTCCTTGCTCCCATTTGCAAAGCTACATTTTCCAATTTTTAAAGATTGCTTTACACCATAGCTATACAATTTTAGTAATACCTAATCAGATGTTTTTTTAATTGTTTTCTTCCCCAATCTGTTTCCAGGAATTCTGTGAAAAGTATGGCAATTCTTGGTACCTCAGAGGGACATACAAAGCAGCCTTTCCAGACAGGTAGCACTTCCAATAAAACAGATAGCATTTTAACAATACAATCAATAATACAATCAATGGCAACATGTTGGGACATTGAAATGAATTTGAAAATGACAGAGCTGTGCAACAGATTGCTTCTGTAATGCAGACTTTTCTGAACCATCAACAACAAAGCAGAAGTTAGATCTCATAGAATGCCATGTAAACAGCGCCCTAGGAATTAATGGACAAAATTACCATATATTGTCATATCAGCAGTTGCATTTTTGTATTATCAATGTTGGATCAACTAGCTCAATGCACTTAAATTTAATGTGACATATCAAATATGAAGCATGAAGAAATAGTCAATCAAAACAGAATTGCCAAGCTTATTATGAGAATTGTTGTTCACAATCTTTGATTAACAGACAAGGTTGACCATACAGAGTACACCATACATCTCGGTGCAAAGTACACCATACAGATTTTCATTTGACACATGCTTGTTTTGGTTTTGCATGGGATTCTCTGCTATTGTCTGTTCTTCCTTGAGCATCGTGAATGATAATCATAAAGCAAGGTATATTAGATATGTTTGAACAGTAGACTGAGTTCCCCATCAAGAATGTTTCTAACTATAAGCTAGCTTATCTGTAGTCAAAGCATAACTTTGTTTGGTATACAAATCTTAGATACCAGAAGAACAAAGTGGTCTATTTAATTGAATTGAGAAATCCCTTTGTTAGCACCTGGGACCCCACCCTCCCTAATATTGAAGCAAAGAAGAACCTTGTTCCTTTCTGGCAATAACACCTAGACAAGAGGCCCGTTCATCTGAATGTCTTTGCCACAGTCTCAAGGTTGTGTTTCACTTTACCTAAAACCTAACAAAGATTCTTGGTAATTCAAAAGTGGTTAACTCCTTCATCTGTCCACATGTTTTGTGGCTTTTAGTCTGGCAAGTTGAGAGAAGTTGCTCCATTAAAGGGGCTGGCTTAAAATGCATTGTAGTTTTCTGATAATAACTGCAAAGATCATTCCAGTGTTTTACGTGTGATATTCAATGGATGTCCTTTATCAAGCAAAATATGTTTTTATATGGAATAAACAAGTATCTGCACCTACTCTTGTGTTTTTTTAATTTGGAAATATTTTTATGATACATTGTTTACTTAGGCTTTTTGTTACATTGAAACCTGTTGATGATGGTTAATTAATGTGGTTCATTTTTTGTATGTACAAGTCATGAACTGAAAAATAATAAGAACCATCTAGAATAATTTTAATTTAGAATGCAAAATTATATATCATCCAGGGAGATTGAAGAAAAATTGGGTATGAACTTCAGTAAACTTCCTTCGAGCAAAAAGTCAGTTTTATATGACAAACAGCTGTTGATTTGGCTTTTAGTGCAGGAATTCCCATTTAATGATTTATACGTTTTATACAAATGTAGACATTATGTCACAATTTCCAAATTACATCAAAAATAATATCACAGCTAATAATTTTTAAATCAAATCTATTCCATTAAATTCTTCTCTGATTGCAGTTTATTTTTTGTTCATAATTCCAGTAATGTCAAGGACTGTTTCTGTGATGATTAATTTTTATCTATAAAGGCACTAACTTCAAACATTGTTACCAAGCTTTTCCTGAAATCGTCTAGAGAATACTTGATATATTTCTCTGGATTTTTTGTAAAATTGACATCCCTGTACCTCAGCAAAAATGTTGAGTAAAGTGGCAACACAAGGTCTAGAATTCCTTTGTATAATCTTAGTCTCAACTCTGCATCTGGCATGGCATAGATTCTATGAACTTGCTTCAGGTCATCAAAGTCTGTATTGAATCCTTTGAATTTATCTTTGATACCTTGCTTATATTTGTCTTTCAAATGACCTTTGCTTAGAGCTTCTGCCAGCTTCTCTTGCGATAAAGGCGCATTCACTTCAAGAAGGTTATTTATAACTTTATTCCAACTTTTCTCATATTGTTTTGTTTCTTCTGTCATTGTATCCTTGTACTCGAATTCCAGGTTTGGAAAACCATGCTGCTTTAGCAGTGACATCAAGCCTGTTTTTTCTAAACTCTTAATAATATAATTGTAGTTGTTGAGCATGAAAACTGACTGCAGGCCAATGGTATCATAACTCTTTGCTTTAAGGGCCAGGCTTCTACTTAAGCATATCAAGGCTTGTGAAATATATCTGGCGACATTTCTGTCATGGTCTGTACTCCCATGTCTTGATGTTTCTTCTTTGCTTGACAAAATCACACCTGTTGTTTCAGAAAATTTCACCAAATCCTCCAGGAAAACCATGACATTTGTGGTCACTTCATGGACAGTTCCATCTTTTGGCATTGTGATGTGCTTCTCTGTTTCCTTCAACTTTTCAATAAACTCATCCATTGCCTTGTAACCAGTTGATTCAAATAATGAATAAAGTGTGAAAAACTTCTTCCTTGTTTCCACATTAGCTGTGCGCAGGACTGTATCAAAATCTTGGCTGAGTGTCCTCAAATGTTTCAAAACTGGAAGAACAATCTGGATTGCAGAGTGGTCAAGTTTATTGAACAATCTCTTGGCAGAGTTGCAAAGGGCTTCACCATCATTGATGTGCACTTGAATTGTCTCATTCAAAAGATGGCTAAAGATAGGGACCTGATGTTGCTCTGGAATCACTGCCTGTAAAAGTGTTCTCTCACTTTGAATTAACTTCAGTAGAGCAGTTGTACAAGTTATGAACTTAGTTACTTCTGAATTCTCTTCCTCTTCAAGAAGAACATTGTCCATGGCAGGAAAAGCAGGTTGCCGTCTGTGGCTAGTGTCTTGGATTTTTACTGATGCTTTACGCCCATCTCTCCTTATTCTTGAGGGTCTTTTAGGGTTAATAGGAGCAGGTGCTGCTCTTGCACGACCCACTGTTGTAACAAGGTTAGAAGGGGTATTACCACCATCTTTGATGCCATGCAAAGACAGCTTCAATGCTGTTGATCTGACCTGAGAATAAACACTCATAAAGTCAGTATTTGTGCCATGGGCTGTAAGCCAACCTGCAATAGTTTTCAACTCCATTGTTGTGCGTTCTGGAAGATGATCAATGCTCACATCCTCAACTGAACATTGGCTGACACTGTCACTAGAATTGTTTTCCGCCATCGCATTCAGCATGTCATAAATAGTGATAACTGGAACTGGCTTGCTATGCCTTGTCAACAGCGTGCGAAACTCTTTGCTTAATAGGTCTCTTCCTGTATCATTCAGCGAATTTAGCAGTGAAAGCTCAATGCTTTCTGGGTTGTTTTTCTTGAAAAAGCGCACCGCATCCTCAACTTTCTCCATGCTTTTAAGATAGTCATCAAGAAACCCAGTAGGCCCATCTTCGATAATTTTTCTGACGCTGTTAGAAACATTATGGTAGTTAAGGACTTGGTCTAACAGCGTTAAGGTCTTGTCGATATTTCCCTGCCTTCTTTGCAAGTCCATTGTCTCTTTATGAATCGGCAATATAGTGTCTTCCAGCTTGCACAAATGGTCCTCAAATGCATCCAAAATCCCGCACATGTTTCCAGCAAGTTGGTTGCTTCTACACAGTGTTTCCTTGAGCCATGACAAATTTTGACGCTCGGCATCAAGCTTGCATTCAATATCTTTTTTCTTTTCAGAAATTTCATCTAGAACTCCTTTAGAGTCCATCTTTCTGAAGTATCAAAGCTTCAAAACACGAGAAGGAAAACAATTTGCCTTTCCTTTCCGCCCTGAAGCCAAGATCAAAACGAGGATGCATTCACTCCGCAAGCGAGACTGGCCACTTGCAGGGGGGAAAGAGATTGTTTGTTTCGTGCAGCATTGGGTGCAAAAATCTTTTTGGCTATTTCCTTCCAGAGTTTTACATTTCTGACTTGAAAATCTTTCAGCTTGAATTATTTATACCTTGAATCTGTAAGTCTGATCCACCCTGTCCGTTTTTAAAAACATTTTTTAAACTTATACAACAGCAGCTCATGAATACTTTTTGGTACTTTTCCTTTTTATATGCAAAAAAATAAAAAAAATATACGCACGGGTTGACCAAGGCCAGAAAAACGAAAAAAGGAAAGAGTAGCATTCTGAATACGTGTTTTCCTTACAAAAACTGCATCTAGTCAACTAATTTTTGATATTCTACATATGTTGCTAAATTTGAACCTTAATGACGGTAATTTTTTATTTAGTTCATTCGATTTTAAATTCATCACTCTTACCAAAAGCTTTCTAAATTTGCTTGTTTTTCGATGATTTGCTCCCATCCTGAAAATAAATTTCAGCCTCTGTTTAATTCAATCATAAACAAAAAAATTCCGACTGTTTCTTTGAAGCTTTCTGGATACAATTTCGATTCTCTTTCATTCTCTTCCATTTAGTTGGGTTACCAAATCGCAGTAACAAATCTTTATTCTTTCTTTCCCTCATCTTCTTGTTCCTTGCCACCTTTGTGCAAGCCTCGATGTAAATTGCTTTGGCTTTTACTGTTTGGCACCAAATTGGTTTACTGTGCCATCTTTTTTTAGTTAAGCCGCACGAGATATCTACCTTTTGTGTTGCTTGATGTGATGGCATTAAGCATGAAACTCTGTGGACCGCCCTGTTCTATGCACCAAGAGCGTTTCCCACTCTCTGGATGAATTCCCAAGTGTAAACGGTCAATGGACTGACAGCGTATGCTGAAATTCGCGCGAAAGTCAACATTGCGTTTCCTGTTGCAAGTTCTTGAAACATCCTTCATGCACAAACGCGAAGGCAGGAAAGATCCGAATTAATGGAGTTGAATTGTACAGGTTCAAGGCAAATATCTGTATCATCCTCCCAGTTCTTTGTTATTCAGAGCTTTCAGATTCGTCATCAGACAAGAATGAAGTAGAGGTTTGTTTTATTCGATTTTAACAGGAATGTCCTTGTCATGTTAACTATAGGTCTTCAGTTTCAGAATCAAACGCGAATGACTATGCTATCAAAAGACTTCATCTTTTGCACAGGTTTATGTGAAAATGAAAATTATCATTGCAGCTTTACTATCTGTAATTTTCGAAGAAAATTGATGTACATCCCTTTCACAGAGATTCCAAATGTATCTTGCCAAGCTGGAACTAATCCATACGTAACTTGGTTTCTCTACTGTAGTCAACAACATACGCCATTGATTTTTTTTATTCATGTATGATAAATTGTATCTCTCTCCTAGAGATAAACAAGTTAAGTAACTCTCTGTGTTTGGTTTTTTCAGCATACTATTTCGCAAGTTACTATTAAGTAAGGAAGTATCAAAGTAAATTCAAAGAAGAAAAAATATTAGGCTCTTAGTATCAACGTTAGTTTCAATTCCATGTGAAACAAATAGCGATTTTTCTCCAGTGTCACGTGATCAATTCTCCTTTGATGAAAAATTCCCCTGACAAATCAAGAAACCAACTAAGAAATCACTTTTTGGATGTGTGCAGATTTTTTTTCCTGGTTGCAGTACTTAATTGAGTTGCCGTTACATTTATCTTGATAAAGTGATTCAAATGATGAGCAGTTCACTTCCCTGAAACCAAGTCTCTTGTTTTTTTGTTTCGGTATTTCTGGTGACCACTTCACTTTCACACATGAGCCATAACATGGAAAGAAACAGCTTTTACTCAAAATAAAAGTTATATAGTCTAGTTAAATTGATTGTGATTGTTTCGAACTGCATTCAAATTAAATTAAAATTTCAAGAAGTACAGCTAAAATGACAGAGAAACAACAACAGGAATAAGAATTTCATTCTGTGAATGTAACACAGTTTAGAAGAAAGCAGTTTAGGCTAGGAAAGCAGATAAAAAATACAACAGAAGGGAGCTTCTACTGCTCTCATATATAAAGAAGGGTGCAATATAACATTAATTACTTTTGAACTTTTGTAGATATTTCAAAAACATTTCTTCCAGAAAGTTGTCAGTGTCATGCCATGCTCAAGCGAGTGCACATAAAATATCAAACCATGTTGGTCTTAACTCTTTGCTCAGGGTTTAACCACATGTTACGCATGGAAAAAAAATATTGTTAGCAGATACTAAAATTACAAAAACAAATTCATTTTTCCATTTTCAATATTTCAAGTTCGAGGAATGTCAATGCCAGTAGAATAGCATTGCCAAGGCCTTCCTTCCTCTGCTTATTTGCATATAGTTCAATGAAATCTTCTGGAATACTTAATTGATTCAGTTTCTCGTGGCTTTGAAGTATTGCCGACTTCTTGCCACTTTCAGTTACTAAATTGGAAACAGTTTCTGTGCATCCAGGTAAAGCGTTCATCTTATCAACATTCTGCTCAACCTCCTCTGTGGAGACTTTTTTGTTTCTTTTTAAATCTTCTGACACAAGATCATTGACCAATGCAACAGAATAATATTGTTTATTGAATCCTTTTGATAGGTCAAAGTGTCTCCGTATAATGTTTGGATCAAACGAGACAGTTTTAACTTTTGATAATGAATGCAGCAGTGCTTCAGTCAAACGGCTGTGTAAGATGTATGGGAAAACAACTGGATCTCTTGATGATGATTTATAGCTTTGTGATTCTATGACATTGATATCGCTCTGAGGTATCTTCTCCAGTAATTTCTCTACCTAGCAAAAAATAAATACAGTTTATGATTGCTGTAATGAAAAATGATAACCAAAATTTTCTATCATAAAGTTTCAACGTTTAACAAATTGCAAGAAAAACATCAGGCCCCACACTAATGTATATTTTGTTAGGCTCTCTTTAGAGTATGCAAAATATAATTAAGTATAGATTAAAAAACACAATTGATATGAAACTGTGTCTTGTGCCAGGATTTGGGCAAATTAGATACTAGCATCGATTGTGAGATTTTGCATTTGATTTCTTGTTGATATCTTGTGTTGTTCTCTATATCAAACAACAGAACAATTATTCTTGGGACAATAGAAAGCTACTGAATGTTCTCATGATTTTTCAAACTTTGCAACAAAATAGAGAAGCATTCTAATAACTTTACATGAGCCATGTTCACAGAAAAGCTGAGCTATTTTTAAACAACTTGGATTAATAACCAGTTGCGTATCTTTAAATACAAATTCACATCCATATTTATAAACATCCCATTCTTTCTGTTAGGTATTTTCTATATTTAGCCACCTGGAAATAACATCCAATAAAAACACTCAATTTCATGTCATACAATACCAGGTAATAATATAGGTTTGAATCTAAAATAAAATAACAAATAAAAGATTTATTAAATGAAATAAAATTTAATTTGCTTAAGAATTCCATAAAACAGTGAATTCTCATTATCGTTTTGCTTAGTCCTGACTATTACTTCTATATGACCTTTATATATAGTGATGGCAATTTTTATAAAAAATATTTAGAATTTACCTTAGTTATGAACGTTTTTGGGAGATATCCTTTTTCTCTTTTCCATTCCTCACTCACCCAGGAGACAACCTGTAACTGCTTTGTGATGCTACACCAGCATATTTCATGGCTTCCAATTGTTATTGCTGTGATTGACTTCACATCCTGCGAAATTGAAAGCATTTTCTATGCTAAAATTTGCAACTTATTCAAATTAAGACACATTTGGTTCTAGAATTTGGTACACCTTAGTAGTTTCACAAAAAATTCAAACAGAATAGAGAATAGAGTGATAGTGAGAAAGGCAATATCTTGTTCTGTTGCAGAAAGAAGGTTTTTTTTCCATATTCATCCAATACATTTAAATGAAATGAGCATCAAGTAGCTCAGCTCCATGAAAAATCTGTTAATGCACTAAGAGAGATAAATTTCATGTTTCAAACTAAATAAACAAAATCAGCTAAAAATTAAAATAAAAAAATAAAATTAGATTTAACTGTTCTAGCTTCATTTACCCCCAAGCCCAAAGTGCAATCATAAAAATGCAAAATAAAATCCAAGCAAGGTGTGCCTGAATAAATGTGCCAGACCGGAAACTTTGTTGCACAATCGCAATATATTGCCCGTTCACACATCTGTGTGCCTGTGCATACTAGGGTGTAAAAACCCAATATAACAACATTTAACACTATCAACTCTAAAAACAACTAAGAGTGTATGATTTCAGGCATGCAGTTTCAAGTTCTACAAATGAACTTGTCAACGCAAGAAAACAGTTTCCACTTGAGTCTGGCTCATGTAAATTTTATGATTGCGGTTGCCTCTCTAGCGTACTTCCCAGTCTAAGTCCAAACTTTTTTTCAAAGCAGAAAATACCTTTGCCTCTGATTCCCTAAGTATCTTGTTATATCCTCCTTTCTGTTTCAAAACAAGGCCTTTCTGTTGAATTGATTTAATGATTGAAGGTGTGAATCCATCAATGTTTCCAAGGTCTTGGATTGACTTTAAGCCATCATTATGTTGACGATAACTCTCAACTCTTCTTGCTTTTTCTATTCCAAAGTTTCTAAAGTCCTTTAAAACTTCTACAGGTAGGCTGTTTAAATCGCGTAAAATCTAGAAAAACCATAATAATAATAATAATATCACGGATTAATGAAGCTATTAAAGATAACAACAATCGTTGCATAGATGTTTGCAGAATCCTGTTAAATGCGAAAATAAACACATTTTCCATACGGAGTCAAGTTCAACGATAAGTTCAAGACTGAGGTGGATGGGAGAAAATCCTCTTTCATTTTTCTTCTTACCTTATCCTCATCGAGTACAGGATTAGAGCCATTGCTTAAACCAGCTTGTGCATTTGATAAACATTTTGCATAGTGTGTACCAAAAACCCTTGGAGACTTCCTCGAGTATATTTGCTTTAAAACATTTCTCTCAATAAATCTTAAAATCATCTTTATTTCTCGCCTAAATACACAACTCCTTCGTTGGATGTGGTTGATGCTGTTTTCCATGCTTACATTGTTGTTGCTGTTGTCCATTATTCGGTTGTTGTTGCCAAAGTGGAGCACTCGAAATGAACCCTGGAAACAACCCACTGAAAGTTTTCAACAGAACACCGCCAGCAAAAGGCAGCTTTCCATTAGATCATGATGGTTTGTATTTTTCAAACAACATTTATCGATAACAGAAATACTGTAAAGCAATATTGTGGTTTATGAACTTGTCTCACACAAACATTGTTTTGAATTTGAGCTTCGGAAAATAAATATTTTCTGATAAAGTTTTTGACTTCTTTGATGGGTGAATTGCTTTTGGAAATATATATATATATGCATTAACATTTTCTCTTGGGAAGAAAGATTTCTGAACAGTTCTTAAGTGTTGAAGTAGTAAGGGCTTCTTGAGAGGGCATATGCTGTTCTTCGATTCCTTTCAAAAGAGAGAACCTTGTTGTGGTACTAAAAGGGACACTATTGTTTTCATTTAAGTTCTTATTCTTTATTATGATCATCATCTAATGTTCTTTATTATAATCATCAAACAATTTTCAACTTTTTTGATTCTTTCAGGTGAATGCAAAACCTTTATGAAAACATACATGCAGTGTTTGCAAAAGAACAAAAATCAGTATGAAAAATGTGTACTAGAGTCTAAGGAGTATCTGCAATGCCGAATGGAAAGGTGTGTCTTTTCATTCTTGAATGATGATCATATTAGCCAAAGTGCAAAGTATTTTTTGTGCGTGGGGAATTATTTTCTGTCGCTTACGCTTGCGCGGGAACAAATCATGTTGCAAAATGACAGGTTAAAAGCTGCAGGTTTTCATTTTTAAATAGCACTTTTAGGGCTCAAGATTAGGCTATGCGCGGAATTCACATGAAAGTCCATGTTCCAACTGCTCGGATTAATCTAAATTTGCAAAAATGCGCAGACGGGATATTTGGGGAACGCGTTACCCAAACTTTGCAGTCTGGCATATTAGTCTTTATAATTTAAAGGCAATCTGCAGATACTGAGATACTGAAGTGAAATATTAGCCAATCAACAAGTGTGTGAGCAATCCCACTCTTACCCAGTCTGCAGAATATGGCAGTTTATGAAAAGATATTGCGTTGCAATAGTAATTTATGCCACATATTCCATGTGCAAGCTTCTTTTTTATCCATTTAATTTACAATTCAGCAGTACCATACCCACTGATTGGTTACTTGTTCATTGACAAATGGCTGAAGCCATTTTAGTAACTGTTTATTGCCTCTAAACCTATTTCATAAGAAGTATTAATAAAATTATAATGGTGAGGTAAATTTAATCTTGGTCATGGTTGTAACTTACCATCTGATTGGTTTTTGCAGCATTTCTTTTTCTTTAATGCATGCACTGGTATGATCATACATTCACATACATATATAGTAACCACCTGCATAAAATGTCCACCCTTACCTGTTTTGTATGATTATTGGTTGCTTAAAAGATTGGGAGGCTGTTGAAAAAGACGAAGCAAATAAACACCATTGAGTCTGCAGTCAAAATCCTTCAAGAAAGCCAAGTTCCAATCTGTTCACAAGTTTTATCCTGCAGACCTATGTCTGGGATCAAAGAATTTTGTGTGTTGAAACTAAAGCCTATTTTGGATATGTGACTGTTATGTATGACTAGGTGTTGCTGGCCTTTCTTTCAATGCAGGATAGGCAAACAAATTTTCATCATCCAAAATTAGTTTATATCTTGATGTCTGTCACCAAGCCTTGCAAGGAGTTGAGCTCCAGCAAGCACCTCTTGACGCATCTAGAAAGTTCTAGGAGCTTGGTTGATCAAACACCTAGCATATTTATGCTGTCTATAAGCTGAATGCAAATTTTGTTATTGACAATTTTTTATGATGCTCAATCGAGTGCCTAGAAAGTTTAAGGTGGTTTCAGAAGCATAAGAGATTTCAAATGAAAGTTGATGCCAGCAGAAAAGCATGGGTTGAGAGTATTTAAAAGAAGCCACTATAATGACAAGACAAAATTAAACACAATTAATTTTCCACTCAGGAGAATAACATCAACAAAGAAATGTTTTCACTTTGATAAAAAATAGCTCCCTCAGAAATCATTGCCACATCCCTCATGAAATCAGGCATTGAGGCTACATTCCCTCATCACAGGAAGCAACGTTGGGCTGCATTGCATGGGCACAAGTTGCTCCACTTAACCCAAATAAAAACCGTAAACCTCACATATAGCTTGATTAACTCAAGTGCAAGCAGTTTTAAGTTCTGGGCAGGGAATGGACAAGAAAAGATCACTCACATTAATCATTCTTTGCCCATAGAGTTGTAAGGTGCAATATTCCATATGTTTGACCATCCTCTACTTAACAATGCAGTGAGCAGAGCTGAGTAATGTTGAATGTTACTTAGTATGATGTTCAGTTCATTTGAACGGGGCTTAATAGAAAGAGACAGACCTCAAAGGCTTCTACTGTAAAGATTGGCAAAAAGTGAGATTTGCAAATGATGAGTGTTGCTTGGTTCCATGCTCAGTTCTTTTGACCGGGGCTTAATAATGATCAAAGGTTTCTAAGAAGGGAATGACAATTTACATGAATGACATATTGAGTTTGAAGATTCTGCAGTTTTTGAGAAAAACCTTGTTTTGATTCAAGGAATATTTTAAGCCAAAAAGCCATTGATTCAACAAAATGTTGTTGATATACTTTTGGCCAAATTCCATTAAAAAGGGGATGTATTGTCGACCATGTAAAAAGTATGTTCAGATGTAGACATCAATGAAGTGAATGGTTCTTTGGCAGCAGATGTTTATTGCAAGAAACATTACATGAGAGGGTCAAAAGAAACACAAATGTATAAAGGTATAAAAAAGAAAAAAGAAGTAGTAAGGGCTTCTTGAGGGCACATGCTGCTCCTGAATTTGTTTGAAGTGCCCAACAAAAGAGGTACCCTTGTGGTACTAAAATCAGAAAGGGGGCACTACTCCAAGCACATAAAAACTAATTGTAATCCTGATGTCACTATCAACATTGTTCTGATCCACCAAAAAGACTGTCATGTATAGAGAGGAACAAAGTTTTCCCTTCAACCCACCCTTATGGCCCAGCCTCCACTGCAGGCCATCTGGTGGGCTCCATCTATTCCCCTGACCCAACAAGAAAGCCCACACCAGTTATAGATGGATTTGCCCACCATTTCTAGATGCCCCTCATCCAGGCTTTATCGTTTCACTACAATGCAACTGCTATGCCAGACTGTAAATTGGCAACCCACAGCTGACAACGAAACAATGACAAACTGATAATAAATAACGTCAATTTGAAAATAAATTACTCTCTAAGCTATCTATTATATTGGCTAAATTAAACTATTTGATGTTATTTTATGTCTATTTAAATTTTAAGCTATTAATGAGAAAGAACTTGATATTACTTTTACTGTTATTTTGAAGTTAAGTTTAAACATTTAATTACAAAAGCAAAATTATATCAAGATAACAAAATAATAATTTATAATTAATGAAATTGAGATTGCTCTAAATATACGTAAGTGACCTAGCCAAAATGTTAGTAAATTGAAATATCAATAAAAATTAATATAAAATAAGACATAAACACAAGTAATTTTACTGTGCAAGGAAGGGTTGCAGTCTAGAAAGAAACAAAGATACAACATAAAAACAGCATTTTCTCAATACAGGGATTGAGAAAGGATAGCGGATAGAATCGAAAGTAAAAGGGAAGGATAGGCTCAGATAAAGTTAAAGTTGAAAAATAAGAAAAATGATAGGAGACGAAAGAAGATGCAGAGACATCAACAGAAACAGTTTAACAAAGGATAAAAAAGAAAGTCACTAGAAATGAAAGATGCAGGAAGAGAAGAGTGTTACACGTTACAACACAGAACAAGCACGACACTACAAGGCATTTACTAGAGCTACACAAGCGAGGTTCAAGTTGGTGAAGCGTCAATAATACACTTCTAGATACCATCTGAACGTTTTCTTGTTTCACTAAAGTAAAGCCTAAATTATAAGACATATAAACACAACAAGGAAGATATGCTAAATCTGTACAGCTGTCATTATTGCATTTGTCGTGAAACTTTTAGCCTTTCAATGAGATGACATCTGATGGCCTGCTAGTTGGTCCCCCTTTCTACTTTCAAAAAACGTTATCACATTGCTATGTTGAATAAAAGTTGAATGAGGCTTTTCAATGGGGGACCATAGAAGGCAATGGGGCCTGCAGCATTCTGTGCTACTATCGGACACAAAATGCTGACAAGGCGCTTTGAAGGTGCATGTTTTGTTCCTCTCGGCATATTTGCTGGGTAGGCGAACGACAGAAAGTCTTGAAGTGACTGATCAATGCATAACTCGGTCATTTCAAAACTAGTTGACGTTCTTCTGCCCAGCAAATACACGGGTTATTCTTCTTGGTGGATCAGAACAAACGATTTAACTAGGGACATGACATCACGGATTATACTTTGTAAAAGTGATTGGATTGTACCCCCTCTCCATGTTTTTAGAAAATTGTGCCCCAAAGATAGAGCATCAGTGTGCCCTCAAGAAGCCCTATCTATTTCACGAATATACACAACAAGCGGAGATTGATTCTAGAGGAAAAATTATGGAATTTCATCTGTTGCCATTCTTTATTTTTAAATGTTTTTTCTTCATCTTCAAATCTCTGTACTTGATTTGCCCATCCAACAAGTGTACGAAATGCCACAGCTCTACAATCTTTTACAGCTATAGCATTCTTATTTACTTGAAATCTGAAATGGAAAAGACTGTTTTTACTTGAAGTCATTGCAATCTTATCTGTAGAAAGGGTATCATTGGATTGTTAAGGCAGTACAAAATTTAGTAATAAATATTACCTTTCATTTAAGAAGAAAGCCTTTTTTAAACCCACAAAAGCCCCGCGAGTTTTGCTTCCCTGCATTTTTTGGTGAATCTTTGGGTGTATTTTCGTTGTCTTTCTTGACTTGGTTGCCATCTCCATTTTGATAAGACGACAAAGGCTGTGTCTTTTCCCTCTCGGCGGCCTCTGCTTCTTCTTGTAGTTGAGCCTAGAGTTGATGTTGGTGTATCAATTTTTTTATTAACTCATTGTAGCTGTAAAAATCTCCCTTCTTCCAAAAGAATAAATTAGTCTCCAAGAAGAATTAGAACGAACCTTCTAGATAATTAGGGCTCAATTAGGGCTTCTAGATATTTAATTTATTGCCTTTTATTCTTGATACCGTAAAATAAAACTTGATACTTTGTCCAGAATGCTCACCTCTCGTTGCTCTTCCCGCCAGTTGTCATACCAAAGGTAGGCAGCGTAACCAACCAGTCCAAACGTGACTGTTGTTTGGACAACTTTCCAGAATGTGTTCATTCGTAGGTTTTGTAAATAGCCAACTTCTTTGGTAGAAACGATGTTTTATTAAGAATTGTTTCCGTCAATTCTGAAACTACTTTTGTAGAACTCCTGAAATGTTTATCTAGTCGAAAAAAATTCGTGTTCCTTTGATACTCTCGATGCGAAGACTAATTTGAGACTGATCAAGTGAGCATTATAATTCTCTTTCGATATGACGTCATATTAATACTGCGCGAAATAGATGGGTGTCGCATACTGACGTATTATAAGGCCTCGTTTTCCTGTTGAAGAATTTGAATCGAGAT